TCCCAATCTGGAATAAAATAAGGCTTTTTTTGCAGACATTCTGCAGCTAAACGAAAGAAAGAAATCTATTTTAATAAATTGAGGTATTTTATATTTATTTCGCAGCATACATAAGGAAAAAATATGTGCATTAAATTTGGTATGTCATCATACTGCTATAATTAATTTCAGGATTATGCCAGAAAAAATTTCCTGAAATTTGGAAATATTATTTACTAATAATAAATAAATTTAGAGGGAAGAAGCGACATTAAATTATATGAATAACATAAAAATAATTACTTAAAAATTGAATTAGAATAATCAACGATATTTTAGCGAATATAGTTATATTACATGGCTAGCCTAGGTGACTGATTACTATTTTTTTATTTTACTGAAAAATGGCAAGGTAATTATTAAAAAGAAAAAAAAAAGGTTTAAAAAGATTTTGCGGTAAAATTCTAGTATACGGTAAGGCTTTGGCACGATTTTGAAAATTGTCGCCAAGACCAAAATGACCCGTTTACTGCGCATCAAGATGTCGCCAAATCCCATTATTATTCTAACCAAAGAAAGTCTATGTAAAGAAGAAAAGGTTCCATACAAGTAAAATGCTATTACGCCGCTAGAATGCGGAGGGAAAATTTGCCAAGGGATTTGGCGACGGAACCTGGCGGCCAGAATTTCCCTCTCCGCGATGTGTACAGGAAATTGAGAAAAAGAACGCTTAGTTAGTGTTAAGAAGAAACGCTTTTTGACAAAAAGAAAACTACGAAAATCCGTTTTTAAATTATTGCGAAAAATCCAAGAAGAAACGTTTTATCAAAGGACGTTTCTTCTTGGATTTTTCGCAATAATTTTAAAAACGGATTTTCGTAGTTTTTTTTTTTTTTTTTCCCCTGAAAATAACTAATTCATGAATTAATTTACTTGCGCCAAAAAATACTTTCTTTTCCTTTAGATTTTAACCACTTGCGCTAAGACTAAACTTCACGGTTGCGGTGCCGTGCGCTACAATATAACAAGCGGTAAAGTGTCTCATTTACGCCGCTCCGCATCTGCGAGTGCAATCCAGAGCTGTTAATTCGAGAAATAAACAATCTCGTTGTTAGGCGACGTGTGCACCACGTTATTTCATTTTTGCGATAGATAAATGCTTATCGACGTGTTCACGTCGCTCGCGGTTTGAGACAAAAGCATCTTGACGTGCGTGGCACGTCTTTTAGCGCAAGTGGTTTAAAGAAATTTTAAACGATATTCATTTTATGAACTCTTGATAACGTGACCTTCGAACTTCGACACCGGTTTCGAGCTTTGGCAACAGATATATCAGACATGCACAGCTGTTTTCCCTCTATGATGGAACGGAGCCACAGCCACGTCTGTTGCAGAGAGGTTTTCCTTCTTTACAATACATATTCTTTGATTCTAACCTCCATGGTACCGTATACTAGGATTAAACCCATTTTGTTTTATACGAGAACAGGTACTTCTTTAGTTCATGCACTGCACATGCGATTCTCGAGAATATTGGAAACCAAAAGTTGCTTTGCCTTTCTAAAAGACAATCAAATTGGAGCTGCGAAAATTGGCTCTATGCCAGCTACCCGAATGACACTCACGTGATACATAATTCGCCAAAAAAGTTACCTCTTCCGACGTCGGCGCAAAAATCGCTTTTTTTGGCTGGATCGTTGTATGAACTTCCCTGACTTTTCCAGATTTTGACAAAAATACTTAAATTCCCTGACTTTTCCCTGAATATTTTGGTCAATTTTCGAATTCCCTGACTTTTCCCGGTTCTCCAGGTAGCATGGCAACCCTGATAAAAAAAATCCCTTTCTATAATGCCTGCCCATGTGATAAGATCAGAAGCATTTTTGATATTTTCTATGCTTCTCTCTAATGAAAAGTAGAGAAAATAAAGACAAGATAAACATGTTAAGATTATAGTATCAGAAGTCATACATTCAAATATTATGTTTTCATTGTTCTTCCAGATATTCTCCCAAAATTAAGAAATTCATTGCAAACGTTCTGTAAAATACATTGTTTTTCCAGATGTTCTCCCAAAATTAAGAAATTCATTGCAAACTTTCTGTAAAATATATCCACTACGTGTTGATACCATGGAGACATTTCTCATTTTGTCACATATTTCTCGAATCTTCTAGAATCTATGTCTATAAATCTTGCCTTCAAATCCTTCTAAACCTTCCAAGCTGCAGTGTCTGAAATCCTAAAGAAAAATTATCCCTACCATTTCTGTAATAGAAAAAAAGCCAGAAATATTTTGGAAAATGTAGGAGGGGAAAAAGTATAAAATTAATTTCATAGAGAAAACTGATGCACATTCTGAGAATTTTGATTATTCTGAGACAATTACATGGGAAAAACTCTTACTACGAAAAAATTAAAAACAAGACATTTTTAATTAATTACACAGCTCATTTTGCTTTTGCTAAGAGCTGTTTTGTAAATTGTGCTTTATAGCATTATACCTTGTTTATTTTTCAGATTAAAAATATTGTATAAGTTGCCAAAATGAAACTTTATAATATGACAGCGAAAAATAAAAATGTTTTATTTTAATGTTATTTTTAAAATATAATTTCAATATGTTACCATTATTTTAATAAAATTTATCAATGTTATGATGTTTTAAAAAAAATCGTCGAAAAATTCTCAGATTTTGGAATTAAAAAGTTTCTATAGAAACTAATCTTAAAATCGCCAAAATGTTGAAAAGTCACCAAATTTAGAACCATTTAATAAAAGAATTCACATCCCCAAAAGCAAAAAGTTGTTTAAGAGCTCTTTACTAGAAAAAATAAATTTCAAAATGCTTATGTTTCACTTCTTGCTTAGAAACTTGAGTATCCCATCATTTATATTAGAAATAGAAACAAATTACAACTCATGAACCCATTAAAAAGATTAACATATATATGGCAGTGAATCGTCAAAAATATTCTTCAAAATGCTAATTCACACTCAAAATGACAGTCGTAAAAACACACAGAAATTTTAGATGATTAAAATTAAGGACCTTCTGTTGATTTTGACCAAAATTAAGAACTTTTAAGCACCAAAAATCGATTAAAAAAATCTAAGGACTTTTAAGGACTCTTAAGGACCATACAAATTGGTACATTGTTTTTCCAGATGTTCTCCCAAAATTGGACCATACAAAATCCCAATTAATGGCTGTGTATCACAAGATTGGCGACGAAACCCAAGTTGTTTCACTAAATTTTATCTTGCTTCTATTGCGTACTGAATTAAGCCTGAATTGTATTAGTTATTTATTACACCTACATTTATTTCTTGCACATGCTTAAAACTAATCTGAGTCCTTTAATAAAACTAAAGTGCAATGTTAGCATAAAAGGTTGCCATACTCTTGTTACTCAATTACTAATACAAAAAAAGTTTAGACATCACAGCATAAGTTATTACTGAAGCTGTCATGTATTGATAAACGTGCGGTGATGAAAGCAAAATATAATAAATAATGACTTGCCAGGTGGGCGTCAGGTATATAAAATATGTGAATTTTTCTGTTTGAGATGTATGCCAGGTAGATACTCAGTTACAGAGGCAAATTATTAATCTCACAAATTTATGATTACATAATGAGATATTTCCATAACGAGGTATTTTATTTAGTGCCTAAGTAAAATTAAGAATCGGAATTTTTAAGTGAAAATCTCCACATGTTTTACTACAGAAGGAAAAATCAAATGCACATGCATAAAGCATTAATTAAAAAAAAAAAAAAAAATGTTTGAAGCTTTGAGGTCCAGATTTTAGATCATTCCAGATAATGGACATCCAGATTTCGGACTTTGTACTGTAATACATTCTTTGGGCAAGTTCAGCAGGAAAAAAAATTGTATATATTTAGATAACTTTTGTCCCTAATGTATTTACAAATTTATGTTCCTTGTGGAAACTTTAAACACATATCATACACATACACACCTTTTTCTGCATGGTATGAATCTTGAGCAATATAAATATTGTTACATACAAAGTTTACATATTTTGATTCATGTGATAAAAGAAATACATATTTTTCCCTCAATATCATTAGCCATTGTATACTCAATGCTACATATTTGTAAATGCAAAGAAGCACCCATTACAATATTTTCTTTGTCAGTGCAGAGGAAGTTTTTTTTTCCTATTTATTATATGAAATATAATTTGAAATGCAATTTCAAAATAATTTTTTCTCTAATATATAGAAAATAAGGTACTTACGTATTAACGCAACCAGGCCAAAATTCGCATAAATCGCCAAATTTGGCGACCCTACTTACGGCAACCCTGCGTGTTATGGGGCGTGTACTACCACAGCAATGGGTTTTCGGCGGAATTTTGCGAGAAAAGAAAGAAACTTTTTTGGTTACTGTACCTAACAAAAGCGCCGTTTCCCTCATGGAAAAAATTTGTGAAAATATCAAGGAAGGAAGCATCATTTATTCGGATTGCTGGAAAGAATACAAGTGAGTTCAAAAATGCTGGATTTCTGCATGGAACTGTTAATCACAAATATAACTTTGTGGATCCAACACGGGCGTTCACACACAACATGTAGAGTGCATGTGGGGCTCAGCCAAATGGCGCAACAAAAAAACAGAGAGGAACAGCCCGTCATCATCTTGACTCATACCTTATCGAATTTATATGGCGCCAAGCTCAAGCTGTTAATGGCAAAGACGGTTTTCAATTAGTGCTAAAAGCAATAGCCAAAAGATTTCCGCCGAAAATATAATTCTACAACTTATTCAAATTCGAAACCGGAAGGGTTTAATTGCTATTTTATATTTTAAAACAAAATAATATAAAAAACTGTATTAAAAATTATTTGTAATTAATAAATGTACATTTTCTTTCTATTCATACTTTTTTACTCAAACTTACAAATTGCGCCAACCTGGTTGCGATAATACGTAAGTACCGAAAATAATTACTATTCCAGTTAAAGATTAAAAAAAAAAAAAATTACTTACCTTGGCTGCTAGCTCCTGGAATATCTACTTGCACTATAGGGTGATAATTTACAGGTACTGATAAAGAACGCTTGTAGAATATGTATAGCTGTTCATTTCCATCAAGGGGTACACCTATTTTTCCATTTCCTGTATTAACAATTAAAGTATAAATCAAACAGCTATACATTAGATACAGTATTAAGTCTAAATATAAAGATGTAACAAATGTAAATTTAAGAAAGAATTTTCTTTAGCTACTTTATATGATTATTTATGCCATTTGTGTACAAGGCATGTCCAGGCGTGGTGAGATAGCTTCTCCGCAAAGCAGTTTTAGGGTTGACATAAAATGGTAAAGGAAGGAAGGGTTGCCACATTTGGCGACAAAATTGGCAATATGCCACGGACGGATGGAGAACCTTCTGGAACGAATTCTTACCGATTTAGCTCAGAATGGTCTCGACAAAAGTCAAATGCTATATAAACCTTGCTGGTCCGCAGTCAGTTAGAGTGTGACTCATCTAGTGAGCTGATAGTCAGTCATTGAGCGAGTGTCTCGAAGCCTAGCGCTGAGTGGGTCGTCAAGTGCATTTGAAGAGTCTTTAGTGTATTGGAGTTAGTGCATTGCAGAGAGAGCATGTTGAGCTCCGGGAACAATTGAACTGAAGAGTCAGGAGCCATGCTCTCCATGTCGTTGAGTGCATCACGAGTTGTAGCATGGAGAGTCTTGAGAGTATGTGGAGTTCCGAGAACGACAAAGCAGAGTCAAGAGCTGTACTTTGGTGCTTTGCAGTAAAGCTCTAAACCGTGATAGCCTGATAACCTGAAGGCTGTGTTGCTGATTGTTCCAGCGAGTGTATAGTAGATCTTCGACGACTGTAAAAAGTGACTTGGAGCTGTCCTGATTAATATTGGCTAAATAAAGTGTGTTTCGCGACTTCATCAAGTGTCATCGTTATTCACTCTAAATCTGCACGAACCCCATATGAATGTAACAACTGGTATCAGAAAAAAAAAAAAAAAAAACCCGCTAAAATTGGTGTCAGGTCGAGTGAATGCCAGTGGCCCGCCTGCAGAGGAAGCCATGGCGGAGGAAACAAAGACTTTGATGAACTTCTTAGCTGAGATCAAAGCCTGGCAAGAAGAGATGATAGCCGGACTGGCTGAGATAAAAGTCGGATATAAAGAGATGACAGCCGAGATCAAAGCCGGACTGAAAGAAATTAAAGCTGGCCAAGAAAAGGTACGAAAGCAACTTCAACAGATGAAAGTGGAGCTTGCAGAAGAAACTGGAGCCATAAAAGAAGATGTGAAAATGACAGAAGTGGCTGGAGCAGCTGATGAAATGTCTGAGAAAGATCAAGAAATGAAGGATAAAACATCTTATGAGATTAAAGAAAGAGAACGAAAAGATGAAGAAAAAGATGGAAAAGATGCTTCTCATCCTTGGGTGTCCGAAGTTGAACTGGAAGACAGTGATAATACTGTCTGTAAAGATGAAGAAATAAACGAAGTGGCTTGTAAAGCTTCTGAAAGAGGTGAAGAAATAATTCATGTAAATTAAGTTCCTGATTCTCAAGTGCCTAAAGTGGAAGTGGAAGAATGTGAAAATGCAACTGTTAAGTTCAACGAAACTGATAGTGAAATTATGAAGTCGCAGTTAGCAAGAATTGACCATCTCAAAGTGCATGTGATGCAGAGATGGAAGAAGCTGATATACAGCTTAGGCAGTGTGCTCCAGTATTGCAAGAAAATTCACCCACTTTGCAAACTATGTGTGCGTCCCATAGTGCAGATTTTGCCCACAAGGACTTTATTCTAAACTTGGATACTTCTGCTTGTAAAGGATCAGATTCTATTTATGATCTTGGTGCAAACATCAGAACTGGCTTTCAGGAAATAAGCATGTACCATCTGCTAAAAATACCAAGGTGAACTGTAAGACATGCTGCAAATGAACTACAGAGTGGTGAACAAACTGTCTCAGATCTTCCTGTGGATGACAAGTCTGAAAGGACTGAATCTACAGACTGTGATATGCCAAGCAGGTATACATCTGAGAACTGCAGTGGAAAAGTATTTTACCCGGATATACCTTAATGAAAAGACTGAGACTGAAATTCATTCTTAACTTTAATTTGAATAATTTAAAATTATTGTGTGTTTAATTTGTGTATATAACTTGCATATAGTGTAAATATTTGTTTCTTTAGTTATGTTATTTGTTTCTTTTACAGTTAAAAGTCTTTAATCCGGACTTGTCGGGACTTCGGCCATTCCGGATTATTGGTTTTCTGGATTATAGATCATCAGTTTAAATCTGGTAAGATGGCATGCAGAAATTATAAAATAAAAAATAAAAAATATGAAACCATAATTTATGAAATAAAGAGCAATTATGATCTAAAGGGCATCAAAATTTACAAAAAACAAAAGCTTAATATTTATTTGTTTATTTTATTAAACAATTCTTTCAACACGCGCATGCGTAAAGCATACATTACGCATAGTCGAAATTAGAAATTTTCAACCAGAAAACTATTTGATGTGTATTCGTGATATTTATAATGATGAAGAATTTGATTTAAATCATATCAGAGTACATCGAGATGAAATACATTTAGTAAGGAATTATAAGCCAAATAAAATAAAAACATCTGCCCTGAAGATAAGGATAGTGCTGACAGATCAACTTCCAGGTCATTGCGTACCGCGATGTCCCCCCCCCCCCGCAGAGCAGCGTGAAATTGATAAACAGATTTCGAAATGGTTAGAGAAACAAAGGATAGCCTTTATCCATTTTTTGCAGCAATTCCACTTTTTGTTTGATGGACATCGAAAGATGCTTTCGCTTTGTAGATCCTTTGGCAGCTCCAGCATCAGAAATTCTTTTTGACATAATCGAAAGTTCAAGCTTACTTTTAAAAAGTTGCTCTAAGAGTCTGCAAAAAATAATAAGCCAGATTCAATTAGAAGATTAAGGAACAACGCAATCTGCAACATTAACCGAAATAGGTAATTAGATAATTTTAGCTTAGCTTATACCGTCCGTTATACATTAAACACGCATGCATAAATGTATTATGAGCATGCGTAAAGGTATTATGCGCATGCGTATGCCGCGGCGCACAATGAATTGGAAGTTGATCTGTCAGCACTATCCTTATCTTCAGGACAGATGTTTCTATTTTATTTCGCTTATAATTCCTTGCTAAATGTGGTATTTCATCTCGATGTACTGCGTCTTTGATATGATTTAAATCAAGTTCCTCGTCATTATAATTCGCTTCCGATAGTGAAGAAAGTGACACAGAGTTTATTGAAAATTAAAAAATTTCAATTGACAAATTAGTCGGTATTCTCGATACAGCAATTATAGGACTTGAACAGCGGAACTTTGTAACTGAACAAGAAATTATGTCTGTTTATAGAATTAAGGAGAAAGCATTATCACATAAAACAAAGCAACTTAAACAACTTGCATTGAAAGAAATGTTTAATAAAGCAAACAAATAAATATTAAGCTTTTTTTTTTGTAAATTTTAATACCCTTTAGATCATAATTGTTCTTTATTTCATAAATTACGGTTTCATATTTTTAATTTTGCAATTTCTGCATGCCATCTTATCAGATTTAAACTGATGATCTATAATTTGGAAAAATCGATAATCTGGAATCACCGAAGTTCCAACGAGTCCGAATTAACGACTTTTGACTGTATATACATAAATGGAAAAATTCAAAAAAGCAAGTTTAAAACCTAATCCAATTGCATGATGATAATAGCAACAAGTGGTGGTAATAATGCAAAATAAGAGATGCATTTAAAATTCATCACATATTCAATTCAGAATAAGTCATGTTGACAAAGAAATGAGCAGAGGATAGAATATGCTAAAATCATTAATGAAATATGAAATTTATATCTTTCACTGCATCAAATCCCAAAATTATAGCATCAAAAACACAAACAAATTCAACCAAACTGCAAAATAATAAACAAATTTTTTTAAATATTTTGTGTAGATAGAGTCCAAAAACAAAACTTACAAAGTAATAATCCATTACTTGAAAATAAAACCACATGCAAATATTTTATTCCGTTATTAGAAAAAAGAAACTATATGCAAATATTGAAAACATACAGGATGGATTAAGAAAGTAATAAACAGGCAATAAAGCTTAAAAATCTAATAACATCCACATTTTGAGTGGAACAAGTCCAAAAGTATGTAAAACAGAAGTAATTCCCCATATGAAAAAATATATGAAATAAAATAAAAATTTGGTCTAAAAAATACCAAAATAAAAATAGAGGAGTTCTTGAAATCTGTAACACAATAACAATAAAAGTTTTGAAATGAGAAAATATATATATGCCTGTATAGTAGCAAAGCCTAAAATGTATTAAGTAATGAATATAGGTAAACTATGAATTTTAAACTGATTAAACTCAATAAAAATAACTAAAAAACTTCTACTGTAACATAAAATAGGTACAGTCAAAAGTCGTTAATTCGGACACCCATAATCCAGAATGATATATAATCCGGACCTCAAAGCTAAAATCTTTCTGCGCATGCGCCACGTTGACGCATGCTCATAGGCATTTTACGCATGCACGCAAGATATTTACTACTGCGCATATGCGTCTGCGCAAGCGCAGAATACATTTTCGCGTGCGCGTTTAATGTATAACGGACGGTATAAGCTAAAATTATCTAATTATCTATTTCAATTAATGTTGATGATTGCGTTGTTCCTTAATCTTCGAATTGGATCCGGCTTATTATTTTTTGCAGGCTGTAAGAGCAATTTTATAAAAGTAAGCTTGAACTTTCGATTATGTCAAATAGAATTTCCGATGCTGGAGCTCCCAAAGGATCTAGAAAACGAAAGTATGATTCGATGTCCATCAAACCACAAAAAAACAAATTGCTACAAAAAATGGATAAAGGTATATCCTTTGTTTATCTAACCGTTCCGAAATCTGTTTATCAATTTCACGCTACTCTGCGTGGGGGGCGGGGGACATCGTGGTGCGCCATGAACTGGCAGTTGATCTGTCAGCACTATCGTTATCTTCAGGGCAGATGTTTTTATTTTATTCGGCTTATAATTCCTTACTAAATGTAGTATTTAATCTCGATGTACTCCATCTTTCATATGATTTAAATCAAATTCCTCGTCATTATAAATATCACGAATACAAATCAAATAGTTTTCTGGTTGCAATTTTCTAATTTCGATTATGCGTAAGGTACACATGCGCGCATTGAAAGAAATGTTTAATAAAGTAAACAAATAAATATTAAGCTTCTTTTTTTTTTGTAAATTTTGATACCCTTTAGATCATAATTGCTCATTATTTTATAAATTACAGTTTCATATTTTTAATTTTATAATTTCTGCATGCCATCTTACCAGATTTAAACTGATGATCTATAATCCGGAATCGCCGAAGTCCCGACGAGTCCGGATTAAAGACTTTTGACTGTAGTAGTAAAAAAGAATAATTTGTAAAAGGAAAAAGCATTGAATTACTGGAAGGTAATTTCGATGTTTCTTTTTCTGGATTAGGAATCCTAGATTAGATCCTGGATTAATATTAGAATTTGTTTCCTAATCCAGGTAAAAATGTGGGTTTACCAGTTAATTATTGTTTCTTGATCCAATAGTTTAAAAATATATACAGTCAAAAGTCGTTAATCCGGACGCCCATAATCCGATAATCCGGATCTCAAAGCTACAAACTTTCTGCACATGCGTCAATGCATAATGCTTTAACGCATGCTGTAATACCTTTACGCATGCACATAATATGTTTACGCATGCGCATAATACATTTACGCATGCGCATAATACGTTTACGCATGCGCATAATACGTTTACGCATGCACGTTTAATGTATAACAGACAGTATAAGCTAAGCTAAAATTATCTAATTATCGATTTCAGTTAATGTTGCAGATTGCTTTGCTCCTTAATCTTCGAATTGGATCCGGCTTATTATTTTTTGCAGACTGTCTGAGCAATTTTATAAAAGTAAGTTTGAACTTTTAATTATGTCAAATAGAATTTCTGATGCTGGATACTGCCACAGGATCTACAAAACGAAAGAATGTTTCAATGTCCAACAAACAAGAAATGGAATTGCTGCAAAAAATGGATAAAGACATATCCTTTGCTTCTCTAACGATTCCAAAATCTGTTTATCAATTTCACGCTGCTCTGCGGGGAAGGGGAACGTCGCGGCACCAATGAACTGGAAGTTGATCTGTCAGCACTATCCTTATCTTCAGGGCAGATGTTTTTATTTTATTCGGCTTATAGTTGATTACTAAATGTAGTATTTCATCTCGATGTACTCTGTCTCTGATATGATTTAAATCAAATTCATTATAAATATCACAAATACACATCAAATAGTTTTCTGGTTGCAATTTTTTAATTTCGACTATTTTGTGCTTTACGCATGCGCACTAATGTATGCTTTACGCATACACACGTTAAAAGAAATGTTTAATAAAGTAAACAAATAAATATTAAGCTTTTTTTTTTTTTTTTTTTTTTGTAAATTTTGATACCTTTTAGATCCTAATTGTTCTTTATTTCATAAATTACGGTTTCATATTTTTAATTTTATAATTTCTGCGTGCCATCTTACCAGATTTAAACTGATGATCTATAATCCGGAAAAATCGATAATCCGGAATCACCGAAGTCCCGACAAGTCCGCATTAAAGTCTTTTGACTGTATATATATAGGGAATTGTTGTATTAAATAAACTATTATTTGGTATTTTATATAAAAATCATCAAAATATTTTTGATAAATATGTCACTGACTGTAAATAAACTGCTAAAAAACTTACAAAATTTAGTTTAAAATAGATGAAAATTTACCATTTTTATATTTTTATGTATCTTTGAAAATACTTTTTAAATTTTCTGCTTATATGAATTCATAATAAGCACATACATGGCAGTAGTGACAATATAATCACAAGAAACACCTCGCAAGATATCAGATCAATTAAAAATTTAAGATATTTAGTAACTTTCACTTCAACTATTCTCAACAAACAAAAACTACACCCAAATTGTGTGATTTATTGCCTGCAGTGGCTAAGCACCACATTACAACACACTCTTAAAATTTTCATCTTGATTTTATGTAACCTCAATTAATCATCAATAAGTTAGTTCATATTTTGTAAAGAAGGAAATAAGTTGATAGTTCTCTGTTTTCCCCTGCATTTTGAAAAGGAATTATTAAAATCAGTATCTGCCTTCTACAGAATAGCAAGCAGAAGTATTTTCACTGTTACAAAATCTTTCTATTCAGACATTATTTGAAAATGGATAAACAATGGCAATGCAACATGAAAAACTGTGACAAGTGAATGCCCATTCAAAGAGTAACATGGATTTAAGGCTCCAAAATTGTTAAATAAAGAGCAATCTATTCTTTCAAACCTTATCAAAATGATTGGTTAAAGTTTAACAGCATGTTATTACTACCAAAATTAATTCACATATTTAAATTATATATATGTAATAAAAACAAAGTCAGAAGTAACTGAACAGCAGGAATTTTGATGGCGTAGAAGTGTTGATCTGTAATGATAGGAAATTGGAGGCAAAGGCAGATTAAATCTTCATTCTTATTTCAGCAAACATATTAGGCCACAAACAAGTTGGCACATTAACTGTGCCTATACAGAAAAGTTTTACATTTTAGATAAATTTGCCGTTAGAAAGAAGGAGCAAACAGATAGCAGTCCAGCTAGGCCAAAGCATTGAAAGCAAGTGCATTATGTTCAAGGTTAAATCCTAATTCAGACTTAGTTTTGGTTCTCAATGCATTTTGATTGGAATATTGCATTGATTGGATTTTACAGCAATATGAGTTTTAGTTCCATTTACATAAGAACCATATGACATAGATTAGTCTCGAAACGACGCAGTGCAGAGAGAGGTTACTATTTTTAGAATTGAGAAAGGAAATTTACGTTGTTAATATAATCTTTTATATAGTCTTTATTTTTCTTACATACACACACACACACATACATATACATATATATATACAAGGTCTGTAATGAAAGTAATGCATCCCATTTTCCTCTGCCGTGACTATCCATCACACAGCGTTGTCGCTTGCACGGAAGGGTGAGTGAAGTCTTGGGAACACAGTGCAACCAGCGTCAGTCAGCTCCTTTGGTCATAATCAAGATGGAAAAACCTCTCAAGCAGTGATATGAGAAAAGTTTTGTTTCAGACTTGAGAAAACACCATCGGAGATTAAAAAAGAGATTTGATCATCAGAGATTAAAAAATCCCTCAAAGGACAGCATATGGGGGACTGGAAAACTTCAAGGTGGCTATGACAAGGTTACTAAAGGACATCTCTGTGATGGACTTCCAGGATGCATATAAAGCATGGAAATTGTGTTGGAACAAGAGTGTTATAGCAAAAGAGATGTAAATATTGAGTAGTACGAATCGGTTCAATAAATTTCTAAAAAAAAGAAAAAAAAAACATTACTTTCAGGGCAAACCTTGTATATATGCATGAACATACACCCATTAAGTTTTACATGTGTACTTCATGCCCAACAAGTAAGTTAAAAAAAAAAAAAAAAAAAAAAAAAAAAAAAGAGATAAGAAAAAGAAAAACTTACCAACATATGGTAGAAAGAAATTTTCATCTGGTTCATAAGAACGATAAACACTTGTATCAAAATTATATGATTCACGAACAAGAGCATTTATATTTGCAGCAATACACCCAATATTGGGATCTGTAGGAATTTTAAAAAGTTTAAATTCATAATCTTATGAATAGGACACACATAAATTTGTCGTTACTTACACATCATTATAGCATTTTTTCTTGAGATTATTTTGAATAAAAATTCTTGGGGGAAAAGCAAAAGCATTATTTGTTACTATTTAAGCAGCAAAGACTGAAGACACACTATACAGCAGAGAAGCCCATAAATTTTGAATTAAAACATGAATAAAATTAAGGTTTTATCAAAGTTGGATTTCAGTGTGGAAGTATCCTCTAGAAGAAAAGAAATAACCACAGTTTTCTTCAAATGCTATAATTTTGCTATTGGTATAGTATGTTATCTACTGCTTTTAGTTAATTTGTTATTTCTCAGATAATGCCATTAAAATGCTGTTTTTAAAAATGAAAATAAATACAAATAATTATGTGTGTGTAAATGATTATGGCAAAGCCTCGAGGGTTATCTGTCAAACTGGCTTGTATACACGTTATACATACAAATAATTATGAACACAGAAATGATTTCATTATTTAATTAAATAACCTACTAAATTTTTAATTCCATTAAATTTAAATTGCTTCCAGTTTTAAAGCAGCCATTTTTATGACTCTTTCAGCACATAGATTATGAATGCTGTGCGGCAAGGCCTGAAAAATACTCATCACTTATTAATGGATCTTCATAGTGTTTCTGTGAGATAATGTATTTGAAGTGTGGCACTCTGAAAGTTGTTTAAAATCTTTAGCTTCAAAATCCTCCAACATGATTCAGTTATTTGAGTATTAGTATCATCTGTAGGACTGAGAAAGATATTTAGGCTGTCTGTAGTTTGATGATTATAAGTTATGATCACAACGGAAAAGCACTGACTACTTCGGTAGTAATTTGATATAATTTGTTTTTCATATTTTAAGTGGAAAATGTTTCCCAATAGCTTTGGAGGGTTGTTTACACTGAGCTACAATTTTCTGCTGCCACATGAACTCCGCTAAGTAAAAGTTACCAACTCACATTTCCGCTGAACATCGCCATACACTCTTTGATTATCTCTAATAAAACTTCCTTTTGTGCAAATTGAAATACAGTACATTCCCGATTACCAGCGGAATTGGGTGGCGCCGCCGCCACGGATAACAAAAAAAGCGGATAATCGGAAAAAAGCTAAAAATGAGTATAGCAAAAGAGAAAACAGTCATTCCAACTTTGAAAAATCATTTTATGTACAATAAAACATGAAATAAACAGCAGGAAATGTTTAACTAACGCTTAATATTTTAGTATATCACTCAAAACTAAGCTAAAATGTATTTTGTTAATGAAAACAGAAAAGTGCTTTGTACTTACGAGAGGCGTGAAGGATACACAGAAAAATTAATACAAATGTACTGTTTTAATACTGTAATGTATTATGTAATTACAAAAGCATAACTGTTAAACTACATCTTTTTGTCATTTGTGTTTGCTTCTTGCTTTGGAAGCATTTTCTCTTGATCCAAGAGTGCATTTTTCGTAACATAAGTTTCTCGGCCAACTCCGCGTCGTCTTGCTCTCCCAAATAGCTCAGCAGTCCGTCGACTTGTTGCAAAGCCGCTTCATGAAACTTCCGCATCTGCACAATGGGCTCTATTATTAAATAACAGAGAGTCTGTATGTATGTTTTTAGCATTAAGTAAAAATGGCAGCACTTAACAGACATCAAATTTTGAACACTCATAGTCTTCCACCTAAATGTGTGAACCTCAAAATCCTGAACTTAAAATTTTTTTATTTATTTATTTCACATTTTGTGCAAATTTAATGAATTTTTATTAACAAACTCAGTGGTTTAAAAACAATTCTTTTATTATTTCATTATTTGTGCAAATTTAATAAATTTTTATTAACAAACTCAGTGATTCAAGAACAATCTTCCAATCTATTTATATTTCAAATTTAATCAGAAACTCAGAGATTTAAAAGAAATGCACTGATGCTGCCTGAAATAAAATAATTTTTATCATCTACACCAGCTGGAATCATGCTGGGGGACCAGTTGGCATATTTAATTTTCTGTCAAATTAAATCTGTCTGCTTTTGATTAACAAATTAAATGATTTAAAAGCAATAAATGCAATTCATTATCTCTTATTATTAATTACCAGCTAGACTCCTGAAGTTATACTGGCTGGATTTATAAAACAATAAGGCAGACTTTCTTTTTTATAATAACTGCTTTCGATAGCTAGCCATGCAATTGGCTAGTATACAATACGAGATACATTCAAATATACATGGGCATTTTTATACTCTGTTCTTGCAAAGAGTTTAACATAATCATGATTCATGGAACAAACATGTTTGAACTTGTCAATAACTGTGTATATTATCTGGTACTTATGTATTAATGTAACCACCTTATTAGAAGTCATCAATTTTTCAGAATGTGCCACAGTCTGGCAAATCATGCACATAACCATCCTTTTAGCAACCATGTTCATAATAGTCCTGCAGTCAAGTAATACCACCATTTCCATATATACTCTCTTTTGTTGTATTTTAAGTTCCAATGGTTTGTATAAACAAATCACATATTTTTTCTTGTCTTGAATTTTATTTTAAAATATGTTATTATGGAATTTATCAGCAATAGAAGAAACTGTGATAGCATTTCTGTAGGAATACAAAATTTTGGAGAAAATTTTCTAACTGGAACAAGCGGCAGATACACTTCCTAGATAATGCTGTTGGCAGGATTTGCAGGAAGCCGGGTCTCCACAATTCTCTGATTTTTTTTAAGGGAAATCCGATTACTTTGTACTTTGGGATGGGAATATCAGAAACAAATTACTGAAAGCTCTGAAGAAGAATTAAGTGTTTTATTTTTTTTTAATGTATCATGTAATCATTACTTCATAAATCAAATTTGTATGTTTTATTGCTAAAGCATACTTTCTTTTCACATGTTGATAATGCTTAACAACTTACTATAAATACTGATAGTTTGGGAATCTTTCTAAAAGAAAGGCGTGAAAATCACCAACTTTCTCTCAATAAGTAACTTCTACCTTTTCATGAGTAAAAAAGTCACATTTATCTTTCCCTCACCTAAGTTCAATGTAATCAAGATATTGGAGGAGGTTAACAACAGATTTTTTAGTTAAAGCAGTAGAAGAAAAATTGAAAAGTAGCAAAAAATAGCACATGATATCAGACATCATGCAAATTTTTATAACGTCACTGGTAACGTCAACTCACGACCTCTAATGTCATCATAAATTTGATCTCCATAAGTCCTGTAATTTGATTCTTGGTGATTTTATTATATATATTAATTTTGACAAAAATCTTAAAACTATATTTCTGATTTTCCATTGTTAATATCTCCATTTCTTCTTTTAATTTTCTTCTTTTATTAATTTAATTAATTTTAATTTTAAGTTAATTTTCAGTTGCTATTTAGTTAATAATCCATTGTTAACGGCTTTCTCATGTTTGGATTGTGAATGTTGCTGTGCTACTTCTTTTGCACTGAAGATGTACTTTTTATAATGCATTGTTTTCTTGCTTTACTTTAATTATTAATGATTTTCAGATAATATTCTGCTCTGATTTTTGACTTTATCAGATTATGATAACTAGTAAAAGCTACAATCTTTTTCTATTAAATTTGTTCATGTGATTAGTTAGAAATCTGGTATTAAGTCTTTATAACTTCAACGAATTTTAAAAACTGTGTTGATAATTTTTTTTTTCTCATTATAATAATGTACATAGAAGTACAGATGATTACATTGTTTCTGGCTTTGAACAACATGAAACATCTGTAGACTCATCCAATATTACAGAAAATCAGAATACGCAATTCAGGTAAAATGACTTTTTGCATATTGATTGCTCTGTGTAAAGTTTCTCAATGAATTTGACAGTATTTCTTTTTCATAAATTTTGTTCCAATAGTCACAGACTACATAGCAGCAAGCCACATGCATGGCAAAATACAAATACAAAAAGTTTCAGTTGAAACAAATTTATACTGTTAAATTTTTTTAATGTATTTTTCATATTACTTTGAGGCACTTTGCTTTTCTGAGAAAAATTTTGCTTATTCTTTAAAGAAAACTTGTACTTCCTTACATATCTCTTTAGTTCATATTCACAAAGCTTGCAATAAGCTTTTGGCTTATCTAGCCATTCTCAAACACGAGCATTATAAGGCAGGCATTTCAAGCTGTGGTGCTGAGTTTTTCATGTTACTCATAATTCACAATTTAGTTAACACAGCAGCTATAATATAATATGCAAGTTAGTCACAGATCACCAAAATATTTTAAAAAGCAATCAATAAAATACATGAAATATTAGCAACTAGCATTGAAAATTGAATGCATATGCTGTACGACTACAGGATAGCCAGCTGTCAGCTTTTATTTAAGCCTAAATAATTGACAACATTTTATTATAATTTAATTGGATATATATATATATCAGTTTAACATATATATGCATTTTGCAATATATTAAAAAAATGTTTAAGTTGCAAACTGTAGCATAAAAATGATGGAGGGTGAGAAAATTAGCAAAATCACAGGGACAGAAATTTTAGTAGCACAAATTGTCAAAAGTAGTAAATTTGCAAAAAATTGCATGATTTGGAAACAGTGCTTCAGTCTATTTAAAGAATTTTATGAGAAAGAAATTCAGGTCTAATGAGCTGGTTATTGAGGTTTGAGAAGAATGAATCAACAACTAGTCAATGAACTTTTATTCTTCCAGAATTAGGAAACCTTCTGGGTTGCTGGAACAAGTATATTACAGTAGCAGGCGGCTGTCGATAAAATGAATGTTAAGTATTAACATATGTGACAAGTAGTAGGGGCATGTCACTTTATTGTATTCAACAAATAAAGTTAAGCTATTAAGTTTTGGTTTATATTTGAAAATTCTTTGTAATTAACCTTATCAAAATAAAATTCTATCTTAATTCATTATAACTTTTTTTTTAACGGTTGGGGCATATTTTTATGACTAAACTTAGCTACACATGCTTACCTATCATTATTGGAGTCTTTTTTCTCAGCCATCGAAACATCGAGGGACCAACATACAGCAAAAATCCTAGCACAACGATAGCTAATAAGAAAGCTTTCCTCAATCTGAAATAAAATAAATAATCAAAACTAACTTTTTAATCTTGATTCAGATACTGGCAATTATGGGTACAATTATGGGTATGTATTATTACAATCACCTTAGTAGCAGTCACCAAATTTTCAGAATGTGCCAAACACTGGCACCCACATGTGTAAACATTCTTCAGACAACCATGTTCATAACATTTATTCAGTTAAGCAATGTCACCATTTCCATATGCATTCCCTTTGTTGAATTCTAAGTTCCAACAGTTTTTATAAACAAGTCTCAATACTTTTTTCCTTAAACTCAATTTTAAAATATACACTTATAGAATTTACTAACAATGGAAGAAACTATGGTAAAATTTCTGAAGAAATGTAGTATTTTGCCAAAAATCAGCTAAAGGAAACAATGATGAAAAGCATTTTGTAGACAGACAGTCATAATGCTGAGGCTGTGCACAATTCTATAATTTTTTTAAGTGAAAACAGATTGCTGTGGATATTGGGAAAAGAGCAGCACAAAAACATTTCAGAAGGATTTTACAAAAAATATATGCATTTTATTTTCTAATGCATTGTATAATTTTAATTTAATAATTAAAATTTTTGGTATGTTGATATGTTTACCAACTTATGATAAATATCAATAGTTCGGAAGTTGTTTTTTAGGAAAGTCATGAAAATTGTCAACTTGCAGCTAATAAGAAACTGTTACTTTTCATCTGAAAAAAATCACCAAATTGAATCAAGGTGATTACATTAATGTGAAAGTACCCTGTAATATAAATTTCTAACGAATCATTACATACACACACACACATATATATACAGTGATGGATATGCATCATAGGTTGAGCCATTGTAAAATTAAACGTCATCTATGTGAGATATTTTACTAGTAATACACAGGGTGGCCATTAAAAAACTTCATGAACATGAATTCCTAGCAGCCTATCACTCACCGAATTGAAATGAAATTTCAGATATTGTCATTCGAAAACACGCACTTGAGACAGCAACGATTTAAAACAACAGAGTTCTTATAGCTTCAGTTATAATAGAAAATATTTTGAAATAGCAATATCTACTTTTGTCCGGAAAAAACTGATCAGCATATTAGCTTACTTTAGTCTAAGAATAAAGCATATCATATATTTAATATAAATACATTTAACACTAAATATGAGTTAATTATTTATTTTTTTAGTAAGGATGTTAGTCTACAGATGGTTATTAACTACCATATACGCTCATGTAATGTCCGCACTTTTTTTATTAAAATGCAGGTGTGGACATTACATGGGTCATTCAAATGTTGCGCTTTTTCTCGTGAGTAATTTTGGGTGTAAATTTCATTTCAAACAGTTCTAAGTGGAAGAAAATGGCATAAAAAATAGAAGTATCAAATTTAAAGTTGTCTAATAGCTATCTTGAATTTACAAACTCACCTTCTCCCATCCAGATATATAATATACACTCATGTCCATAAATTAATGATAATTCGGAGTCACGCAGAAATCGAACTCTAAAATAAATATATCACCTGTAAAATCCCTACACACGTCTTCAAGAATCATATGCAAATTTCAGGAAGTAACCAGATGACACCGATGGTACGTCACAATGACGAGAGTGTAAGAGAGTGATATATAAAGAATACAGGCAAAGAAGTAAGTTATGACAGTTAGTTAGTTATGAAGTAGTTATGACACAAAGGACGCATTTGGATGATTTTTTACGTGGTAGAATTATCAGCCGTCTGGAATATGGGCGTACCCAACTGGAAGTATCAGACGAACTTGGAATTGCCCAGAGTGTCATCTCCAGGCTTTGGCAATGATTCCAAGATGATAGTAATGTGAGTAGACATTACAGCACAGGTCGCCCCAGAGTTACAATGCCGAATGAGGACCGGTATTTGGCAGTTACTGCCAAAAGAAACAGGCGGAGCACAGCCCCAGACCTGTCTCGTCAGCTCTCTTCAGCCACTGATACGACAATTTCAAGGCAGACCATGTACAGACGCTTAGGGCAGATTGGTCTATATGCTCGTAGACCTGACACATTCTTTCTTTAAAGATGTTTATGGTCTAAAGGGAAAAAGACGATGTTCAAAAAAATATATTTTAAAGTAAGAAATTCTTTAGTTTTTTGGTTGCGGACATTATGCGGGGTCACCTTTTTTTTACATAAATTTTACCAGTAAATTTGGGGTGTGGACATTACACAAGCATATATGGTATAGACATCTACAGATGGTTGTAGTCAACAGATGAGCGTTAACAGTTAAATTTTTCTAAGTTGTAAAAATTGTATGGATTTGGAACTGCTTAGTATACTGCTTCTCAAAAAAATTTGTTTCTTCCCTTCTTAAAAAAAAAAAAAAAAAAAAAAAAAAAAAAAAAAAATAGTATCTACTAATGCCAAACTCATAAAACTAAATCTTTTGCATTGAACAACAACAAAATTTAACTTAAAACGAATTTTAGTTTTTAAAGGTTCACTGTTCATTTCTGCATTTCTTTTTTGCATGCAAAAATGTATAAACAAAAACATCAAGATATTAAAAAAAGTACGCTACTGTTTGAATAAAACAGCAAAATGAAACACAGACAGTGAATTACAATCTGTACATTATTATAAATTCTATCATTATTTGCTATTATTTTGAATGGAAATTATATATACATATAAAAAAAGTAGCAGACTTAGAAACATTGTAATCAATGAATGGTATCGAAAAAACAGTTTACCACAATAACACTTGCTGCACAATGTTATTAGCAAGTATTTTTTTAAAAAAACTTTTTAATTGACTCATTTTCTTACAGTAATAAGTAGCACATTTATATATTATCAAAAATAAATCAATGATCTTACAATGATAATTCAAAATAACATATTGTCATATTTTTTATCTTCATTGGCAACACATAGATATTAATTACTAACTAAAAATAATAACCCCTTTTTAGAGCAGTTTAAAAAACTTATTGAACTATATAAATGAAATGTAGTACCATAATAATTCACTGAAGATTCATTTCTATAAATACAATGGTCATACTGAAAATAATGCAAAAGTATACCTAACCTTTTCGCTAGCAGATAAAGATTGTCAAAATTCTATATGATGTTAAAGAGACTTTTTTTTTTTTTTTTCTTTTGCATATAATAACACTTTTCTTCATCATAGGTAAACTGAACAAGCCTGATTAGTGCCTAGTTTTAAAAGATCTCAAAATCATTATTTAACTTATAATACCAATTATTCTCTCATGAAAATAATCATTTGGGGTGGGGAAGGCTGAATGAATACAGCATATATGGTTTCAGAATACCTTAACCAGGCCTCTCCCAAGAAAGAAGGATGCAGTAGTCGGCGGTAATATTCCTCAAATGCTGTTGTGTCTTGTCCGCACTGGCGGCAATTCCAAGCTGAGTGTTTGAACTCACATACATAAGTACCAAAGATGGCTATAGGCTGTTTATACAGATGACACCATTGAAAACAGCAGCACACAGAGATGTATCAGGTTTAGAAGGTATATAAAACAAGCTGGGAGATGCAAACTGGTAAATCTTCAACTGATGATCAGACTGTTTCGCACAGACAACTCCTGAATTTTTCTGCAAATACGGGCTGTGTAATACAAATGATGATGAAGACTTAGATTATTGTAAAGTGTGTGCAAATCAAGTATCTTCATAGTTGACAGCCAGTACAAAAGAAAAAAGTGTTGTTTTGATCATTTGTTCTGATCTATTGGAAAACTTTCAAACTAATAAAAATGTATCTTTTTTTCAATTTTGTGACAAAAGACAACACATGAACATACCTTTCTGACACAAAGGCATACAATCAGTTCAAGAAATGACAATAACACTCCTTTGCAAAGCCTGAAATGTTAAGCAGCTAGAAATTAGAACAGAAACTCATGACGACTGTTTTGTTTTACGGGGAGAAGGGGGGGATGATGAAGGCTTTATACTTCTCGATTTTTAGAGCATGACTATATTGTGATCATCAAATGATACAGCACAAAGTCCGAGATCTGGAATGATCTAAAATCCAAACCTTAAAGACAGCAACAAAAATTTTTGGTACTTTTCCATTTTGTTGGTGCAAACGATAAAGTCGCCAATAATGGTACAACTGATGCCAAACAGAATATCTTCACTGGTAACCTTTTATGCTTCATTTTCAAAACACGTCACAGCCATTTCTTATCAGATTGATTGTTTGTTTCAATACTGGCATACAATTACATAGAATTTTTACGAGATAGTTAAATTTTATGCCCTATGACCATTCGTGGTAATTAAGTCAATTAGGATGCAATCACACCACTCACCCTAAAGCGAAAATATAGCAAAGTCGAGAGTTAAATTCATCAATTCTAATGAGAATGCACTAGCAAAGGAAAGTACTGCGGTTTTACATAATTTCTGAGTAAGCTATTCATACAAATTGAAATAATTCCTGCATTTAAACTTGTATTCCAAATTGAAATTAAACTTGAAATTAATTTAGATAATTACTGAGAGAATTAGATTTTTGTAGTTTACATGAAATGAGATGACTTGGTGTCACAAAAAGTCTATTTTCTCTTTATTCTCATACGTAACAGCAGTAATGGAAACATAAAGATGATACATAAATTTATTCAACTAATAATACAGCACCATATTAAATAAAATATACTTAATAACAGCATTATACTTTTGTAAGATAAAATAAGTATTTATAATTCAACATCTTAGAAGAACTAAGAGGTGTTAACAAAATTCCTCCAACCTTGCTTTCTAAAATTCATTTGATTAAACTGTAGGTAAATATATAATCTTATCTCCTTGAAGTGCCAGTGTATTTTAATTTTAAAATGTCTTCATAGCAAATTTAATATAATTAGATTCTATAAACAAACACCTACTTTTGTTACATCATTATTCATTAGTGAAATTTTAAAATGATAGACATGCTTTTCAGAAGTATATAAAATTATTTCAAAATAAGTTTTCTCACTATATTAAGGCATTACAAATTATTCATATTATATACCGCAAGGAAAAAAAAAAAAAAAAAAAAACTCACGACATATAGCTGTCAACCGCTCTTTTGCATCTTCGACCCAAATCACATAATTCAACAAGCATGTTCCTAAAAATAAAAAGCTCAAAATGTACCATCAGGCATTTTATTTTATGCTCAGCTATGAGCATACATACTATCGGTTTATAAAAGGATATCTTTATAATTATTCATGTTAAAAATATTCAGTTGTATGAGACAATGTTTCTTGTCATTTTTTAACATATATATTAAGTGCACTTATATAATGATAATTTAAATTGTTGTACTGTTTAACTCGAAATCCGGACGGAAAAGAGAGAACTTTTAGTAAAGTGAGAATGAAATTCAGTATTTGAAGCTAACATAGCTACTGCTCGAAACTAACAGCTATGATGCTAATTTAGGATCATATAAGCATTGCAAATTTCACAAGATACAGAGATGCATATTAATTTTGCATGAAACATACTAAGACATCTGTAAACAAGTTTACAAGTTACTTATAAAAAGTTGAGATGTTTCAGAGCAGACGCCAGTCGCTTTATGAGATACATTCTACAAGAGAAGAAGAGGAAACTGTGGTCACGTGTTTTAAGAACAACATCTGCATGTGGTATGTTTACAATGGAATCGATAGCAGATATTCCGCTGAAATTAATTGATTTTTCGAATTTAGAAATTTATGGCTATTGCGAGAAATTAAAAAATACGCTTGGAAATGATTTCTTTTTTCCTTGATGTCAACAAGAAGGGTCTTTTGCTATTCAAGGAAAAACATGTGAACAATATTTGTTTCAAAGTAATGTCGCCGGATAGCACAGTACTTATAACAAGCTGTGTTAAGGCCGAAATGAAGAAATTTCATCGGGGTATGTTTTAATACTTTAGCTGTTGTAATCGATTTTTAATGAATACACATAAATATCGGAATGCTAATTTTTTTCATACCTTCCATTGTAGATATTAAGGATAAAAAAACAGCTGTAATATTAGAAGCATCAGTAATACTGAAACATTTTAATATAAAAGGATGCTTTTATAAGAATTTATACTTAATTCTAAATTTTCATAGGAGATTGCTGAGTTTTTTAGTTTAAATATTAAATTAGCATGTATATTTAGTCCTTGAAAATCAGTGGTTGTGCCAGTCCATAGTTTGAGATAACATGTGCCTTGGGTATATATTCATTAGAATTACACTAGTTGGATATTCTATTTCCTATAGTAGATCTTTTCAATAAATACACTTGAAAACCTTTTTGAGTTACATGAGTTTAAAACAAAAAATTCTGCACATAAAGTATGTAACTTACAAGATTAAAAATAACTTGAAATTTATTTTTTGAATATTTAAAATGTATACAGATAGTACTTTTTTATTATTTATCATTATAAAATGAAGAAAAATGTATTATGAAAAATTATTAGTTTCACAGCTAGTACTGCAGTAAACTCAGTTGCACAAATCTCTATATTTTTCTTTTGAGCATTTATATTATAGTATACAAAATTTGTTAATCTGCAGTTTATACTATCAATAGGATAATAGCCAGTTACTAAAAATTAAATTTTAAGCTGCATAAAATTACATATTAATTTTGAACTGCGCAGAACATTGGCATCGTTATCCTTACATGATTTAAAGATTTAAGGGCCAACTGCATTTACAATGCTCGGGAAATTTGACTGTTACGATTTTCAGAAACCAACTATTTATGTTTACTGTTCTGCTTGTTAAGCTGATAAAATTATAACTTGAAAAAATTTAGAGTAAATTTATTTTCACCGTAGAAGTATTTATGACTTAAAAATATTTAGAGTAAATTTATTATCTATGTAAGCATGATTTTATGTACTCATTTTTACATCTTATATTTATGCGGCTTAAGTGTTTGTCGCCGATAGTTTATTGGTTGCTTGCGTAACTGTAAATTGTTTTATTCCCACACTGATAGCCACGTGAATAACTACCTCTCGTTCCTTAACCCCCGCCTCTAAAGTTCTTTAATGCACACGGCATTAACTCGAGGAACCTCCTTTAACGTTTCTTTAACAAGAAACATCACAGTCAAATAAGACTGATTTAACATACTTTAACCTATCAAATGAAATAAAACTGAAAAAGATTTTTTAAACTTTAACTTCTCTCTTCTTCCTTTAAAAAGGAACTTTTCAGGCATTTAACAAGCGTCACTTTGGCCTTTTAAAAACCGCATTGAATATCGGTCAAAAATGAAACTTCTCCCTCCCAGCTGATCACTGGCAGAACTACTTTTTCGACCTGTAAACAGGTTCCCCCCTCCCTCCCACCTCGAAGAACGCGCATCGGATATGATGCTATCCCCTGCGTATTCTTCGCATCTGACGTATGCAAAGAAAATGATTATCAAGGTTCAAGGAAACTTCACTTTTTATTTTTCTAGTCAAAATTTTTTATGGCTGCCCCTATCTAAATTATTCTGGCCCTTTTTTCGGCACAAAATTAAGACCTTCTGAGTTTTTTTTGGCTTTTTTGACTCAGTTGTGAAGGCACTTACTCTTAAAAGCTTCATTCGGCTTATCAAAATTTTTACCCTATTTGAACAATCCCCTCTTTCGGATGATTTAATTTCCTTTGAAGATGTGGAGGTAAAGGCGTTATTGCCTATGAACTCCGTAAATTGCACTTCCTTGATCCTTGATCCTTGTTTTATTCCCCGTGAAGTGCAGCGCGTGACGAATATTATGAGAAAGCTCTAAAAAAATAAAAATTAAAATTAAAAATACAAGAGCACGTGCATTTAACATTTAATAAATAAATTCAACATCTATATATAATAGAATTCGGAAATATGCAATCGGCAAAAACCGGCAACGATGAAAAAACAAATAAAAGGAAATAAATAAATATCATTATTATATGCGGCTGAAGTGTTTGTTTGTCGCCGATAGTTTATTGGTTGCTTGCGTAATTGTACTAGCCAATGGGGTTGCTACGGCACAGGGTACAATGCCAAGTTGCTACGGCACAGGGTTGCCGTTTCAATTGAGACGTAGACAATTTCCTGTAAAACTTGCCTTTTCTATGACCATCAATAAGTCTCAGGGCCAAACGCTTAAGCGTGTTGGCATTTTTTGACATGAGGCTGCACTTGGACACGGTCAACTTTATTTTGCCTGTTCAAGAGTTCGTGATAGAACGGACGTAAAATTAAAAATAATTGATGATCCTCTGCAAGGCGAGGTTAAAAATGATGGAAAGATCTACACAAGAAATGTTGTGTATAAAGAGATCTTTGACATGTGAATTAACATTTTATTATTTAAATCTCCTTTATTTATTGAGCTAGCGTTAGCTCTTAAGAAATGTACCACCAGTGGTTTCCTTCATTACATTCTACTTTAAGCAATTAAGCAAGTAGAAGGAGAAAACCCAACGACTTACACCACAAGGAGAGTTTTTTTAACCTCGATGGGGGAAAAACATTTTTATCTTCAGCGCGCGAGACAGTGTATCGGAAATTTTAAAGATATGCCGGTTTGCTGTTTTTAAATATTTTGTAATATTGCAGCTGAATAGAATTTTATATGGTTTAAATGCCAAGAACATGATATTTACATGATATTTAATAAGCAAATCTAACACACAAAACATTAAAAAATGCCATTTTGGGCGTAATACAATATAGATTTTCTTTTAAAATTTCTACTCAAGAAATTTGAAGCATCTTACGAACTATATCTTGATTTTTTACTTTCGGACGCATACCATTTTCACGCTACGGAGTTTCGAGCAGTCAGAAATGATGTAAAGAAATAAAGACAATCACCACCAATAGATGGCAGCATACAACCCAAACTATCTATCTTGAAAGCTTATGTAGTGACTGCTGCTGGGGTTTTAATTTTTGAATTTAATAGTTAAAAATACTTTGCTTCTTTGAGTACCATCTATTTTTCTTTTGCTTACCACCAGTTGAGAACCCCTGCTTTAGCCGAAAGAGGTGGTAAATTTGACTGCAGGAGACGTTTTGGTAATCGGCAAAAATTTTATCAGCTAATGGTGATCACCAAGATAAATCTCAAAAAGAAAAGTGAGTGATGATAAATAGAAACCTCTAAACTAGGTAGTGGAGCTGGGTTCAGAAAGGTCAATCAAGAAAAAGACTCTCACGTTCAATTAAATACGGTACTAAATATCTATCACTGCTAGCCGTTTGAAGGAATGCTATTCAAATCGATTTAAATAGAATTTTTGGTGTTTTTCGGAGAAGGTCCAAGTACAGATTCTTAGTCTTAGCGCAAATGATAGCTTCACACACCGAATCGCCTTTTAACTGCTTCTCGTTAAGCCACACAAAAACCATTTCTCAACATCTTCTAGAAGTTTCGGACAGGGTGTTTGGAAATAAACTTCAGAACAGTGCAGATCGTCGATGTCGAATGGCCATAAGTCTTCGCCAATACCCTCTCTATTACACCATGCTTATGTTTATTCTATGATTTTCTTCTTAATTTCAAAGGCCGTGGCTTTCTTCTTTCTCTTTGCAGCGCTATCTGAGGCAACAATCTTCTTGGAAAGCATCGTGAAATAATTATTTTCACATTAAATGTAGAAAAATATTAACTCACAAGCGCACAAACACGTCAGATCACTCAGTGCTCTTTGATCTACCAAGGGGTTCCCCCCCTCCAAGTCGAGCCTGATTTGGAAACCCGCCACGCATACCAACAACCTGGCTCGTTGCTCGTTACAGGAGTCAATGCTCGTATTTAGAGACGAATGTTTCGCTTATACTTTCACCGTATCTCGAAATTCTCGTATATAGAGTTGCTCGTATCTCGAGTTTCCACTGTATGCGATTAAAATTAATTTGGAATGCCCACATTGCTAGAATATCGCTTCGCAGCAGAATGAAATTATAGTTTTAAACAGGCCAAGTCAGGACAGATGCAACATCAGGGTTAAAGAGAAGAGGTATGTCATTCCTTTGTGTGACTGCTCGCCAAAATTCTTGCCTGAAATATTGCAGATTATAAACTTATTCAAAAGTAGTAGTCACCGGGCCACAAACTCAAGAGTTCAACAATAACAGACCAATTCAGAACTCGATTGATTCACTCGAAATTTACAATATCTTATCTATAGCATTGTTCAAGAAAGAAAGGAATTTTCCCAAACATCCATCTTTCAACATATGATTCTTCCAAAATATCTCCTTTGATCTTCAAAAATTATTTTCTGGAAATTTCTAAAACGTTGTCAAGTTAGTGTAAAATTGCTTTCGCAACAAAAGTCACCAAGCTCATATAAGAGAGTTATTGTATAGATACGAGGTGTGACACATAAAAACGAAACTGTGTAGCTTGAAAAGAGTAGTGTTGGCAACAACTGTTTTGGTGACTTCATGCCACACACCTCCTCTATCCATGCGGCCAGTTTCGACTTAACCGACTACGCCAGTGGGGTGTACTGCGTGATTGAGTGAACACGTGCAACTGCATTCTGCCGGAAAAATGTCTAATGTAAAAACCGAACAACGAATCAACATCAAGTTTCTTGTGAAACTTACGAAATCAGCCACGGAGTAAAACATTTCAAATGTTAACCGAGGCTTATGGAGATAAAACTTTGTCTCATGTACGTGTGTTTGAATGGCATAAGCGGTTTTCAGGAAAAGCGCCAGTGTGGAAGATGATGAACGTGCTGGGCGCCCAGCACATTCATCATGCTTGAACGGATTCCCAGTGGTCAGATTGTTAATCACTACTACTATATTGAAGTACTTAAAAGACTTCGAGAAAAATTAGGAAAATAAAAGGCCACAGTTGTGGAGTGATGGATGGCTGTTGCACCAGGACAATGCAACCACTCACATGGCCTTATCTGCCAAGCAGTTTCTGACCAGCAAAAACAATACTGTGCTCCTCCTTATTCACCTGATTTAGCTCCATGCGACTTTTTTTTTAAATTTCCTAAAGTTAAATCTTACTTGAAGGGAACCCAATTAACCTCAGCTGAAGAGGTTCAGGCAAAAACGGAGAATTTCCTGAAGGGCTTTCCAAAAACTTCCTTCCAGAACTGTTTCCAACAATGGCAGCACCGAATGCATTGTGTGTATGCTGAAGGTGATAATGTCACGGAGAATGGTGATAATGTCCGTGATGCTGAGATAATGTCCGTGATGTCCAATGCTGAAGGTGATAATGTCCGAGACATTATCACTTATTTTGAAGGTGATAATGTGACGAATTCTGTAAGTACAATGATTTATTGGACCAGTCTCGTTTTTTGTGTGTCACACGTTGTATTTGGTTCTGTTGAATTGTCGGTGACTTTTCAAAGCCAGAAGCTTCAAAATGAAATGTTCCGCAAATACAATTATACAAGAATAGATAAAAACAAATTACAAATGAATAGACACAAATATTGACAGCATTTACAACAATTTATATATAATTAAAGATACAAACACAATTTGAGTGCACAGTAAAAGCTTTATTAGGATAAAAGTATAAAAAGAGACAATCTGAATGTAAAAGGTATTAAAAGCGCTATTAAACTCATGATAAATGTAGAAATCAACTTATTCACTTAGCTATTCTTTGGTCCAAGTAGCTATATGAAGAATCAGAACTGTCCTCAGAGTCAAAACACACGTTAGTTCCAACACTCCGATGCAAAGGCTTTAGTTGTCCTTGTAGAATTGGATCTGTGTAGGCTTTCTTAAATGTCTGACATCTCCCATAATTTCCAGCTTTTTCAATGTACCTATGATCCTCTGCTTTCAATGGAGTCTTCCGGTTTACTCGATTTATCGCGTAGTTTCCATTTTTCTCCAGTTTATCATCCTCTCCTCTTAGTGGAATTTTTCGCTCATCTTTTAATAATTTACGTCTATCACCAATAAATTCTTTCTGTGCTGAAGAAAAATCTGAATGCAGGCGTTTGTTACTTGCATGAAAATCTTTTTCATAAAGTAATCTTTTAGGATCTATTAAAAATAGAATAGTCAGTAAATAATATTTTTAGTTTGAGTTAGAAGAGAAAGACTAGAATAGTCTAAGTGTTTTGTCTAAATCTCCTCCAGATACAAACTTATCTAATCTACGTCAGATCTTTACTTTCTCTTAATTTTAAGTAAGTAAAGAGTTAAGAGAAAAATTATTTTAAAGATTAAGTACAAAAAATATTTAAAAATAAAAATGAAAATAAACGCCCAAAAGAATCAGGTTGGTTTTAGGAATAAACTTACCTGCGTAAGTTTATAACACGCAAAGCGTTCCTTTCAAATCTGTTAAAAATTCGTGTAATTAATGCGTAGCTATCCCAATGAGCATGAGCTTATTTATGCGAGATGTTAAAAAATTTCTGCTAAAAATTTAAAAGCAGCTAGAGGTAAACGAAATAAGCAAACTTTACAGTAGAATCTGTGGGCGGAAACAGTACGTTGAAATTGAACACAGGGCTGTTGAGAGGTAGGTAAAAGTGTTTTGCTGGCGTAAATCTCAATTTCCCAGTTCGCATTTTGAGCGGCATGAACGAATGCGAACCTTGCACGAATTTAGAGTCTTTTGATATGCTTTCCATCTATGGGACGCAGACCAAACGAATCAGCGTGTGAGACTGTGTATCGGAAATTCTAAATATATGCTGATTTTAAATATTGCATGATATTGCTCTTGAATTAAATTTTATGTGGTTTAAGTGCGAAGAACATGATATTTAATAAATAAAGGTAACACACAAAACGTTAAAAAACGCCCTTTTGGGCGTAGTATAAAACCTGAAAGTTTCGAGATTTTTTTTTCCGATGGTGGTCACAAATTCTCCACAGACGTTGGCCACTACTAATGTCAGAAGCGGTAGTCACGTTATTACGGAAGCACCAAGTAGATGGGCCACCTTTGCATTCAATGAGGAGACGTACAAATACAATCATGCATTCTCCGGGATTCGAACCCGTGCCTATTATTATCGCAGTCGGCTTCCCTAACCACTGTACCTTCTGGACGGCTGATTAAAGGGGAAAGTTCGGAAGACGATTCTCGAGTGCCTGCTTTGAGCAGTTACTCCAATTTCGTGTCTAGCCGAATTGATAAATCGCATATCGGCGAGTTTTGCTTTCGTGTAGATATGCACATCATTGGAAATTCAAAAGCGGAAAGAAAATGTACGCCAGTATTTTATATACGAGGGTAAGTTGAAAAATAAGTTTCCTTTGTCGACTGTGGTCAGAGTTGTGTATGAAAGTCAAAAAAATAGAATGAGACATTAAAGATATGACATACTTTTATTTTTCCACATAGGTACCAAGTACATTGAGACATTTTTCACATCGCTTGATAAGCTTCAAAAAGGCCCTCCAGGAAAAAATCAGGGCTTGCATATGAAGAAGCGTTGAACGGCTGTTTCACTTCAGTATTGCTTCAAAGCGCCTTTCCCGAGATTTTTCTTCAAAGCCGGAACAGATGGAAGTCGCTTGGTGCGAGATCAGGACTGTATGGCGGATGGTGTAGGCGCTCCCAACAAGAGTTGCATATGGTTTTGCGTTGCCGTCGCCGACTGTGGTCTGGCATTGTCATCCAAAGCAGAAAGCCAGTGTGAGAAGGCCAGGCCGCTTTTTCCGAATCGCCTCTTTCAATTTCGACAGGGTGTCACGTAACGCGTAGCATTGTGGTTCCAACCTCCAAAAAGTCCAGCAACAAAACTCCTTGGGTGTCCCAGAAAACTGGAGGAGCACTTTACCTCAGAGGGAGTTGTCTTTGAACTTCTTCGGACAGGTGATGACGGATGTTTCCACTCCATAGATGCGGCTTCGATCTGGCGTGAAATGGTGGACTCACGTTTCATGCCCCGTCACAATCCGAAACAGAAAGTCATTGCCATTTCATGGTAACGCACGAGATGTTCCAGTGATCCCCATGCGTTGTTCCTTGTGTGTCGAGGTCAATTGTCGGGGCACCCATCGTGCTGACAATTTTCTGTATCGAAGAATGTCGGGGTGATGTTTAAACTCGCTCATGTGAGATTCCAAGTTCTTCCGCTACTTCATCGAGGGTACGCCGGTTCGCTCTAATCATGTCATCCACCTTCCTGACATTTGCATCTGTAGTGGCTGTGCGCGTCCGTCCAGCTCTAGGTATGTCCTCCACTTGCTGACGTCCATCACTGAATGTGAGACACCATCTCCGCACTATTTGCTTCGACATCACACCTGGCCCATAGACTTCCACGAGACGGTTATGAATTTCTGTTCCTGATACTTCACGTGCCCATTCATAGCGGATAACCGCTCTCACTTTCTCCTTTGACCACGAATTCAAAACTCACCTTCTCTCCATACCTACCGGGGCTCAAATGAGAGGCTGGTCTCCGCTTTGCGCAGGCACTGCAACAGCGCCATCTGCTTGATTTGCAGCGACTTCTAACCAATGGTTATCGGTGACTTGCGCGTTTTCTGCTGTGTCGCCTTTCGCCCATAGCCGTTCCGCCTTTCCATATGCAAGCGTGAATTTTCTTGGAGGGGACTTTGAAGCTTGTCAGCGATATGACAAATGTCTCAACGTACTCGTACAAGAATAAAAAAAGGTATGTCATATCTTTAATGTCTCATTCTATTTTTTGACTTTCATACACAACTTTGACCACAGTCGACAGGGGAAACTTATTTTTCAACTTACCTACGTATCACTTCAACACCACTTTCGCTCACCCATTTCCATTGGAAAATATATTTATATAAATTCCATTTACCTGCTTTTTAATTTTAGCAAGACTTTTTGAATCACCCTGCATTTGAAACACACATACTGAAATTTTGATGCTGAATATACTTTTTTAGAAAGGGCTATAATACGTTATGTTCGGAAGCAAAATAGCAGGTCTTCGTTATTTTTTTATTATAACTATTATTTATTATAACTAACCCGAGTTATAGTGGAATATACTTTAAATTCATGATTATTAGTGTAATTAGGTACACACGGATAACAGATAAAGATGAACAGTGAGAAAAACAACTTCGTACCCTTTAAAAATTGAATTCAATAGAAATTTTAAAGAAATGATACGTAATGTATTATAAGGTTTAATAAAAATAATAACTAAACGAATATAGATTTTCAGTTTTCTTTTAGGGAAAGTATGTTACATGGCTCTTCTCTGTAAGTTATTTCTTACACGGCAGAATCGTTTTCCTTTCTGATGTCAGTATACGTTTTCTTCTCAGATATAAATTAGCATTAATTTCTATTCTAAGCCTTAGAAATGCAGTTCGAGTTTTCAAAAACTGTGAGCTTGTTTAAAACGTCCAGGTTTTTCACCTTTTTCAGGTCTCAAAAGATTTTATTGAGACAATGCATAATGTATGAATTATTAAGTGTTCAGTGTACGTTTATTTTATCTATAATGTATTAAAATACTCCCCCTAAAAAAAAAGAGGTTTACTAACTTTAAAAATAGGCAAAATTCAATCTTTTATTTAGTTTCATAAAAAAACTTTTACGTGCTTGGAGAGAATACGACACTAGACCCTCTTCTTTTAGAGGAAAAAAATACTGCACCATTTTTATGAATTATATCATATAAAAATAGGAAATTATTAAGAGAAGCGGCGAAGGCAACAACTATAGCTCTCTTTATTATTATTGGTGATACCAAGTGCAGAATGATTAAGACCTTTGAATGCTGTGAGTTCTGCCCCGGTTTTATCCCACGGGAAAGGGATTGATTTTCGTGGTTTTTTTCCATGTGTAACGTAAATACATACCAATTTTCCTTAGAAAGCCCTCCATAAAAGCACTCTTACACTAAGTAGATAGCCCTTGTGTGCTTTACTATATTCAAGTAATACGACCTTCACTATTGTTACGAAATGTACAGGCGCGGTGAGATGGCTTTCCCGCAAAACAGTTTTAGGGCTACCATAAAACGCCAAGGGAAGGCAGAGTTGCCACATTTGGCAAAAAATTGCCCATTTGGCGACAAAATTGGCGATATACCATGGACGGATGGAGAACCTTCTGGAATGAATTCTTACCGGTTTAGCCCAGAATGTTCTCGAACACAAGCCGAAAGCTATATAAACGCTGCTGGTCTGCAGTCAGTCAGTGTGCTTCATCGAGAGGGCGCGTGAGTGTGCCTCTAGTCAGTATCGAGTTGGTGTCTCGTCTAGCGAGCCAATCCCTGCGGAGTCGATCGAGTTGACAGCCGGGCAGCGAGTGCCGAGTGGGTCGTCGAATTCACCGAAGGAGTCTCTTAGTGCATCGCGATTAGTGTATCGTCGAGATAGCGTGTTGAGCTCCGGGAACGACTGAACCGAAGAGGTGGGAGCCGTGCTCTGTGTGTCGTCGAGTGCATCGCGAGTTGTAGCGTGGAGAGTCTCGAGAGTACGTGGAGTGCCGAGAATGACCAAGCAGAGTCGGGAGCTGTACTCTGGTGCTTTGCAGTGAAGCGTTCACCGTGATAGCCTGATAACCTGAAGGCTGTGTCGCTGATCGTGTCAGCTTGTTTATAGTAGTTCATCGACGACTGTAAAACGTGTTTTGTAGCTGTCCTGACAATACTGGCTAATAAAGCTTGATGATACTTCATCAAGTAGTGTCGTCATTATTCACTCCAAATCCATACGAACCCCGTACGAACGGGAAGGAAGAAACTAACGTAACACTATTATTCCTTCATCTGTTGAATAAAAAGCCTCAGCATTTAAGATTTTTAAATGTTTCCAGGTGAAAAACCTTGCAAATAAAACGGTGAAGTAACATAAATAAACTTTAATTGGAGGTAGAAGACTTCGAAGAAATACAGAATATTAACGCAGCTTTTTAGATAAATTTAGCAAAAATAAAGTTTCACAAACATTAGCTTCCTTAAAGTAGGGAACGATATTATTTTATTCGATCGTAGTAATCGTGTATAGACAAAATTTTGCTATATTTTATCTGTTTGACAACAGATTACATAAAGATATTAATATTAGGCAGTATAACTGCAATTAAATATTAGGATGTTAATATTTAAAGGTAATATGATACGTTTAATATATTGCACAGACAGTTTTATGAATAAAATTAATGATTTATTTTCTATGATATTTAGTTTTATCTATTTTACTATAAATATTTCTTAACCTAATAGCGTATTTCTTCGAAAAGAATAAGGAAATAAACGTCACTAATAACTTAGTGCGCCTTATTGCTGATTTTTCCAGTTTTTATTTCAAAATAATTATTTTTTTCTAAAATACTTGTAAGTCAAAATCAACTATCAAATATATATTTGCTAGATGTATTTCAACACTTTATTTTGTTTACTTATAATCAAAGCCTTTTTACCCCTTATTAGTGATATTGAAATTAAGAGAAGTTTTAGAATTAACTGCATCCTAGAAGCTAAATCTTGTAATAATAATTCAGACTTGAAAGAGTTTTCGGTAGTTCTGTTTCACAAACTTTTCCAAAAAGTAACGACATGATAAAAACCCTTAACAAAAAAGTAATTTTTATCTTTTGCGCAAAATAATAAAAAGGAAAAAGTTTTAGTTTTCAGTTGTAGTGAAATTGCAGAAGATGAATCCATACCTGAATAAATTGCTTCTTTTTTAGTAGCTTCCCTATCGATTTTGTGGGCTATAGGTTTCTTCGAAACAAATTCAGCAATTTCTAGAAGATACATTTAATGATTTAAAAATGCATAAATTTCTTATGCATATATTAGTATAAGAAAATATTTAATGCATTATATGATTACGGCAATCAGAATCAGAAATGCAACTAATACTAGACAGTCAATTTATATCTATTAACCAAAAAATAAATAGTGTGACATTTTCTTGTCATAAAAGGGAATCAATTCATTAAAGGACTTTTCAATTTAACGACTCTATATTAAGAATTATTTGAAAAAAAAATGTATACAAGACATCTCAAGGGGGAGGGAGAAGAAAAATGCGAATGCGGTCAACTTTTTAAAAATTAAAAAAAAAAAAAAATTAAAGCAAGACGTTTTATATAACGCAAAGAAAAAATAGGGAATAAATTAAAACATTTATTCAAGTTACTGAATGGTGTTAGATAGGAATTCCATTCCCAGCTGTCCTCGGTTAAGAGAGGTAAGCAAGTCAATGCATCTCTTTAAAGCACGTAAAAGAATAATAGCTTTCATTGCTAGAGTTTTATTACAGATTTCTTGTCGTTTGTATTGCTCAAAGATTTCAGTGACATAGTTTCAATTTAATTACCATATTTTTAAGAAGATTTAGTAAAATAATTTTATCTTATTCTTATAGCTTGCATAGCACGTACAACACAGTTAATTGTTCGACTGAAGCTCAAATATCAACAGAAATAGCCCTAATTTTGTTGAAGTAAAGCAATATACGATGAATGAAAAATACAGATGGGCAGTAATTTCAGTTACCTTGATCATTTATTAAGATATTATTAGATATCACATTAAAGTTTAGGCAGAAAAAGTAAAATTAAAAGTATATATCAGGAAAAAAAAGTACACTTTTTCAGATCAAAATCATTGAATCCCTAAGAAACTTTACACTCGAAACTATTAGAATCTATCTAAGAAAACTCAACGCCATTGAGCCTTTTTTTTGTGTGTGTGAGGGGGGGAGGACTCCGCTTAAGTATTTGAACACTCTAGATATACAAGAGGTTCTGCAGAAGAGGGAGGGAAAGAGAAGGAAAAGTGGTCCATTATCGTATTACTCTAAAAATAAACTGAGAGAGATTACTCCCAAATTCCAAGGAGGAAAGAGAGAGATGAACCTATGGCCGAAGAGAAATCGCAATACTAAGACGTTAAATTCAGTATTCGTAGGAGTTCTTTTATAATGTATCGGTGAAAACGCTGCATAGTTTAGAATTCTGAGAGTACTCTTTCGTGGAGAGTACCAGAAGTTAAAATTCTAAAGCCCAAATCGGACCTATTACCAACGTTTTAAAACAATATACCCATGATGAAAAAAGCTATGAAGTCCAGTAAACTCTAACACACAGCAGCTCGACAATGACTCTGAAACATTCGTATCAAGCGTATAAACATTTATTAATATGGTGCAGGTCTTATTTTGGACTCCAGAATTATAATATAATATAATTCTCGAGGGTATTTCTAGCTGTTCTTCTCGTAAAACAAAAGGCTAGTTCACATCGTGATGCCCAAAAGAGGAAAACTATTTTCACACATTATGTTCTGGAATAACTCTAGAGTGGAGGCCATAGAAGACGTTATGCTCATTTTCATATTCTTCAAATAGTTCTGTAGCCAATATTGCAGTGCGAACTTATTCATTTCCACCTTAATATACAAAACTTCCTTTGGGATGCAGTATTTGATCTAGGCAGATACAGTCTGCTAGAATACGTCCATAGGCTCTGACTGTGATATGAACATGAAGAAGAATCAAACATCCATGGTATCACGCAACAGTCACCCATCCATTTTCCTGCTCCACTCTGAGCATGAAACATAACGCCAGAGAAGAAGTTCTCCATCCGAAAATTCTGTCAGATGTGGAAGCCAGTAAAGGTAAATCCATCACTTACCAGTGCTAAGTTTGCTTTGCGTGCCATCCTAGTTTTTCGTTCTGGCATTTAGCATCGGCGTTGCTGATCAAAGACTTCTTATGCCTACGCGACCATGAGAATTAACCTTGTGAAGCTCCCGAAAGACAGATATTTGTAGGAATAGATGATTTTAGATGAATACTGAGTTCTGCAGTAATTTGATTCTTTGTAGTTATATATATATCTAATGCAAAATAAATTAAAATAAGACGTTTAAAAATACATTCCATGTTCAATTCGAAAAATATATATATATATATATGTATCCAGAAAACAAGAAACCAGAAGCACAGTGGCAAACTGAATGAAAAGCCCCAAAAATACCAAAACCAAAAATAAAAAAGAAAAAAAAATTAACTCATTCTCTGCATCTTCATCATGGGGTGATGAAACGAAGGAATTAAATACATCAACCTGGTTCTGAACCAACAAAGACACAAATTAAATACTTAATCTAATCTCAGAAAATTAATCAATACAATTTATGTCTTTATCAAGTGAAAAAATATCCGCTACTCTTACGTAAGATGACATGATGCGGATTAATTTGGAAAAACGCAGTCCAGAAATATTGATATAAACAAATTGTACTTTCAAAACTGAAAGGGAAAGTAAACAAATTAAAGTTAGTAATTACGCGGCTATTGCTAATTTAAGTTACAATTTTGAGTTAGATATTTTACATCTTACAAACACACATACACACAACATCATATGTCTGTATTTATATCTATCTTTCTATCTACTTGGATACAGTATTTGCTATTATAAAATTTTTTCGGGTGACTTTCTTTTCTCGTCAATTACTCCGATTGAATGAAGAGCAGATAGATTAGATAGCTTAGATATGTAGATACGCATATCTTTGCTTAGATACGTAGATATTGCTTCGTCGATATGTCATAAAGACTGCTATTGTAACAAATGCAACAACCATCAATTTGTTTTGGTTTGAACTTCAATACAACTCCCATTTATGTCCTACAGTTTCCAAAGTTTGGAATCATCACCTTTGACACCACTGAAAATTCAAACGTCTCTTTCTGCTGTTGCAGATAAAATTCAAAATCATTTAGTGTTCCGTATTTTAAGCATAAACTGGCTTGAAATATGGAGTACAATATTCGTCAAGTTTTTGCATTTCATTGTCCAGATCAGATACATGAGATCTTGCGTCTCAAACTAAATTACACGCATAACAAAGCTTCGTTAAAAAAATTCGTATTGTTTATCTATATATATAAAGAATAATGTCTGTTTATGTGTTTGTTTGTTCGCGATATACTCAGTAGCTACTACAGCTATCGTAGCCAAATTTTAGGTCTACGTCCACTTTTTGTTTTCAAAAAAATTAAACGAACGCGAATTAAACGAACTTCTAATTAAAAATTCAGCGATCGAAAAGCTTTGCACTTCCACTTTGCAAAAGCGTAAGATATATATGTTTCACATTTAATCTGAATACTCGGCGATATGTAAAAAAAAAAAAAAAAAAAAAAAAATTAATTACGTCCAAAGGGGCGTTTTTTAACATTTTGTGTGTTACCTTTCTTTATTAAATATCATGTTCCTCGCACTTAAACCATAAGATCCAGTGCAACAGCAATATCGCAAAATAGTTTTAAAACGAGCATATCTTTAGAATTTCCGATACAGAGACTCACGCGCTGAAAGAGATAAAAATTTTTTTTCTGCACAACGTTGCCATTGCTCGCTTTGAAATCCTTGAGTTTGTTAATCAAAAATTCGTCAAAGTTTTAAAAAATAGGAAATCGATCATAAAACAAATTTCAAATTTCAAATTTGGTCTTCCACATGCTCATATTCGTTGGAGGATTACGTTATTCAAAATTCGATGACTCTATGTACCGTTATTTTATGACAATGTGAGAAATATACATACATTTACGCAGATTTTCATTATTTAATTTCTTCAAATATAATGCAGGACTCTAACATTTTATGGCAACAATTTGAAAAGTGAACCGACATTTATCCGTCCGACGCAAAATGCCAAAACGAAAGTAATAGTCCTTCGGGACTCAAGTTCCTTTGGACTAAAAAAAAATGTTGCCACTCGGAAAAACGCAATTATATTAATTTGTCTCGAATTTAATAGAAATCTTGGCTATTAGAGAGAAATGTGCTACACTGTCCAAATTAAAATATTTTAAAGTATGTAACCGTTCAGCCAAGCGTAAAATATTAAAATTTTCACTCAATAACACGCATACGTCAACATGCGTGTTATTGCATCACACGCATTTTCTTTGCTTGTGAAAGTGAATTTGTGAGTCATCACAAAGCGTTACTTTTGCTTTGAAAACAATTATACCAGTAGAGCGAAAATCGGTTGCTCGATTTGCAGCTTAAGCACGATAAAAAAGAGGGCATCACAAGCTTCAGAAACAAACTGGCAACGGGAAACAAGACTGGAAAACGTTCGAGTACGTACTGCTCAAGCCCACTCGTATAAAACAAACGGGAAGCAGCAAAACTGGAAAATATTCGAGTACGAACTGTTCAATTTAGACGAACATTGCATTCTGATTTAAATCTTAGTGCTTTCGATTACGATGCTAATTATGATTACAGTCTTCACCCAAGTGTGGTGGTTGGAAAGATGGATAAATTATAATGCATTGCAGAGTACTCAGATTTAAGTATGAAGCACTAGGAATGTTGCTATGTGGGTACAAAAGTGAAATTGTCTGCACCAGATGGAAAAAAAAAAAAAAATATTGTGTATCCAAAAGCATTTCAATAAACATAATTAAAACACAAACACTTTCTTTCCTTTAAGTAGCACTATAAGGCATGCTAAGTAACAGCTAGTATAAGTATATAATAAAGCATGTTATTCAAATTAGAAAAGGAAAAAGTATTAAAAGGGAATTATATGACATACCTTTATGTTTGAAGTTTTTGTTAAATTCTTCAAGCATATCACTGTCTTCTGCAGGTTTCTTCCCTGTTTGTTTCATAACTGCTGTAAGACACATGTCCTTGCTTTTCAGAAATTCAGAAATATATAAAATAGTAATTTACTTAAAATATTAACTAAATATATAAAAATATTTACTTGAAAAATTCATTTCAGCCCATGGTTTCTTGGCTCCAGGATCCAAAATTTTCTTATTGCAATCTGCAGCAGAGATTTAAAAAATGCATTTCTGAACTTTGAAAAAAAAAATCTCTACGACTAATCTAACTAAATAAATAATTAAAATTAATTTTTCTATTATTTTATGCATCAAGTTATACAACTTCAATGATATACAACGAACTTTTTTAGCATGGTATATAACTAAGGGGAAATACTCTACTTAACGGTGAAAAGCAGGAAAAATGCTTCGAAGACTAACACTGGAAATGGTTTCTATATAAGTTACAGTACAACTCCAATTATCCAAAGCCGACTATCTGAATCGCTGATTATCCGGATCGCTTTCAGAATTTAAGAAAAAATTAAGACGGAAACCTAGTGCTGGGCAATCAACGAATTCAGACATTAAAAGGAGCAAACCTACACTTTTAAACTTCGTGTTACTGCGTGAAAACGAAGATGGAAATTCTTCAAGAAAATAAATGAAGGCAGCAATAAACAAAACTTTAGGAGATGACGTTTTCAAGTGGTTTTTGCAGCAACGTTCTATGAGAAACGCAATTTTGGGACCGATTCTTTGTGAAAAAGCTAAGATCTTGGCTCAGAAGCTTGGTTGTTCATCCTTTGAAACAAATAACCGACTGGCTAAGAAATTTTTAAGTGCAGGCACAGTGTCCGCCAAACAGCTTACTTTGACCAAGATGTTCAGCAAGTAATGACTTTTAGCACTTGTAAGTACTGTACACCTTTTCATTTTAATTAATTAAAACCTCTTTTTTCTTTAAAAATAGTTTTTTTCTCTCATTTTCAACATACAGTACATATAGTAATTAATTAAAATGTACGTATACCTTTTCTTTGGAAAAAATCCAATTATATTATCCGAATGGGTTTCGTTCCCATTTGATTCGGATAATTGGAGTTCTACTGTATCAGAATTCCAAAAATGTAATTTACTACAGAGATCGAATAGGAAAGGGACTTAGACACATAATTGAGTGAAACCAGCCTTACGGAAAGTTTGTATAAGCGTTTTAAGTACGATTAGCCGCACAGCCAATAGGGAACTTGTTACTAAAAGGATTAAAAATTGTTATAAACCAGCTTTTATAATAGAATTGCAATTGTTTCTCGATTACTTGGGGAAGAAACACTCTGTTATATAAGATTTTGACAGAGGTGACTAAATTTTTTTACGGTGAATGTAAATTCAGCGCTGGAAACGAAACGTGTTTTATATAATTTTTCACTACCTACTTTATGAAGTCACGTATTCCAACATAAACAGGGCCCTAAATTCAGGGGTGAAAACGAAATGTGTTTCTTTTACCGTTTGACATTAATTACTTTATTAAGTCACGTTTTGGAACATAAACACATTATGACAGGATTTTTTTAAAACTGTATACGATACCGTAAATCTGATACAAGTTTTGAATTAAGAATTCCAAATTCCTTTAAATCAAGATGCAAAAAATTACAAACTTAGTTTTTCAACTCTATAAAATAGCACAAGAGTTGCTGGTCGTGAATTTTTCCCAGTTTTATCCTTCTTACAATTTTCCTTTCCTTCACGTTATTTTACCCAAGTATTCATTAGTACAGAATTCAGAAGTTCATCTCAAGGAAATTTTAAACAAGAACATATTTTTATTCGAAAGCTTATAATGGATGAATACGGACAATATGAATAAATAAAATGAATGAAGATGCTGATTTTCAATAAACTCTCAATGCAGATGGATTTTTTTAATCCCCTTTTACAGTTAAGCATTTAAAAACTTTCTACAAATTTAAATAATTAACTAATATTTTTGTTATCTAGCAGAAAGAATTTTTGTATTTAATGAGAGTATGTACAAACCAGACGGAGTACTCCCCTCTAATAAATCCCTTCGTTAAACTTGCCCCTCTGCACTGCATAGGTTAAATGCAAGCACTTGGATATTTATCATATAATACAGAGAAGAATACACATGCAAGATTTACTTCAGTTCGAATCATCTTCAGTAAAGCTGTTAAAAAATTTCTGGTAGCCACATATATAAGATTCTATGATTTACACCATAATGTTGCGAATTGCCCAGCTGCGCGAGAGGTGAGATAGCTTGCCCGCAAGGCAGGGTTAGGGTTGCTAGAAAGTGAGATGAGGAGACAGGGTTGCCAGATCTGGCACGAAATCGACCATTTGGCGACGATTGGCGACAAAATTGGCGATATGTCAATAGACGGAGCGAGAACATTCGGGAACACATTTTTAGCGGTTTTCTCGACAATATTCTCGAAGGTAGATTAAAGCTATATCTACCCTGCGTGTACGGGGAAAGTAGTTTCTTGAGTTCAGAGATTAGCTTGAGAGCGATTGACCGAGATGGGAGTGCTTTGCCGTGAAGCTGTCTTCCCCGTTATAGCCTGAAGGCTGTGCTGATTGTTTCAGCGTATTTATAGTATAGTAGTTTTTCCACGACTGTAAACATGTCTTTCGAACTGTCCTGTGTAATAGAGCTTATTGGCAAATAAATTGTGTTTTGATTCTTCATGAAGTGTTATCATCAGTTAATCTAAATCCACGAACCCTTAAAATGCAACAATACAATAATTTTAGAGTCCCCCCTTTTTTACAAAAACAATTTTTGAACTTACGTTCTGTGGAAGTTTGATGTTCATGGGCTACTGTCTGTTGCTTCGCAGCCTTTTTCTTTTTGAAGTTACCTCTTCCTGTAAGTATTTAAAATTTTATGAATAACAATAATAATATAGATGAGTGCATACAAAAAAAAAAGTTTTCATTCACAATAAGTTGTAAAGTATTATTAAAACTCTATTAAAATAAATCTGAAGTGTGGCTCCATAATTTTACAAGCAATAAAATTGATGGATGTGTGTAAAAAAAATATGCATGATAAAAGTCTCTGTTTATCATCTAAGACTTATTTATTTCTCTGCCATGTAGTGTAGAAAAAAAAGGTAAAAAATCTGGCGTGGGCATCACATGACTTCCCTGTACGGCGTATTAAATTATACACATTTTTTCTTGCATTTCATATAAATTGATTTCCTCGAATTTCTTTTCTCATTCAATTTATTCAATTCTCACTTCGCGGCAAGGCAAAAATACATAAAAACTCAAAATATCTTTATTAAAAATTGCAAAATAGAGAAAAACATAAAGCACTAAATGCAGTTAAAACAGTTCGAAAAACAATTATTACAATAAAAAATTGAGTTTTACACAAAAAAAGCAATTCAGCCAGCGGGCAAGACGACAGATTTTTCGATGCACAAAATTAAAAGCTTACTTTTGGTTCCATTCGGCAGACAGACGCTGAAGTTGCTGCCCAAACTGACTTAATTCATTGTTTTACTAAGAGTTTCAAATGCAAACAAATGACGTCTTCGTTACGCTACGTAACACTTAAAACAACTTTTAAATTGTTATAATTCTACAACTATAGCATGAGATTAACTAAGGCATGAAAACCATAACCGGAACTTAAGAAAAGCATAATTCAATCACTTTTAAAGCAAAAAATGCACAAATTACCAACATATAAGAATACAGAACCTGAGTCACCGAGCCGAGTAACAGAGCGGGTAGTATATATCTATATACGTTTGGTACAACTGACTGCAACCGAAAAGGGAGGTGCACAACTACACATAATAGTAGTCCCATATACAAAATTTCAACGGTTTGAAATATTCGTTTTTGTGTTATGCGAGATGCATGCATACGTCCTTATGTACATACAGATATCAAGGAAAAAAATCTCTTTTGAATCTATTTTAAATACTTTTACAAACCGTTTTGGAAAAAAAAGTGTCTTTTATTCTATCCGTGCGTACATATGTCATACAAAAATATCGCTGAAATGGATTCTACAGGGGTCGAAATGGATATTTCCGTTGAAACATAGTACCAGAAATTTTTCGCGATTACAATACTTCCTTTACTTCGTATAAGGAAGTAAAAAACAGAAGTCATGTGGCCGTATTATCAGTATTACTGTTTTAACAGAAAGAAACTTAGTTTTGTTAATACGGTTATCAATAATAATTGCTTATGTAAATTATTGCTTATGTAAACATTGCTTATGTAAATTGCTTATGTATTCTATTAAGACAACATCTAGAATGATTCGCAATGAAACATAGTTGGATGAAATATATTTTCCAGGAAAAAAATGTAGCATAAGAGGTGACTGAATTTTATTTAAAATGTTACCAAATTTGTTTCGTTTAATCCTCTACAGCAAGATGATTTTTTAGAATTAAAATAACAACTATTTCAGAATAATTAGCTACATGGAAATCCTGCATTGTAACACTGGAAAATTTATGCAAAATAAATGTGTTCTGATTATTTTCGTACAGAGGAGCACATCAATTAACCAGTATTTTAATAAAAAAATGCACTCTTCTAGCAATTTATTAGGTACTAAATTTTAATTAAAGGCATTACTTCGATTATTCTTGAAAAGAGACTTGCATGACCGCTTAAACAATCGCATAGTTACCTGAAAGAAAAGGCAGCAACTGAAAACAGATATTGATAACACACAAATCAATCTTTTAAAATATCTAGAAATTTATTCTGCAACGTCCTTTTTATTGAAACTGTATACTGTCAAACTTGGTTAATTCTAGTTTTTAGATGATTCGAACCTGACAAAGTCGTCTTGTTTATTCTGTTTGAAAGTCTTTGAAATTACCCGTTCAATTCACCTCTCTTTCTGAACTTCAGATTTTTAGACGACTCGAATATGGAGGAATTTTTATGTCTTGAAATCTTTCAGCGTCATTTACAGCAGAATGTTTCATTTTCTGGTATGCTTGTCTCACGATCAGTTCTTTAACCGAGGAGACGGGAATAAAAGAAGCAGCATTCATTGTTGAATAGCGAATATTCGAAGTTCGTAAAATTTCTTAAGTTGTAAGGATCTTAAGTTTTACTAACGTTTATTTTATTTTAAATCTTTACTATCACTTCTTATTTTCTACTTCCGGCCAGAATTATAAGCGTGAAGGTTTTTATGCAAAGTTGGTCTGGCGAACGCCAAGTATTTAAGTGTGGCCTTTTTGCCAAGCGGAAGAGAGGAAGCAGTAGTCGAACGCAGGCCGCTTACCTTAGAAGTTACGCAGTTGCTGTTGCCTTCCAGGCCAGAGGTTTTAATCCTCTTGATAAATTAAACGTATTGTAGTGTTCACAGTCTCTGTGCTACATACGCTTCCTGTTATTATAAGGCCAATCTTCCACGTGTATTATTCTAAAGTTAAATTAGAGTTTAGTTTTTATTTTTATACTTTTTTACGTTTAGACCCCGAGTGGAGGGTCATTGTATTCCGAAGTACGGAAGTTATTGTAATATAGAGAAAAATAAAGGGTTTTTGTATACCCTTCGTCTGTATCCTGTCTACTTACCACAATTAGTGAACATAGCTTTAGTAAGCTCTCTGTTCCGAGTCAGGTCCTTGTATGTTCCCGAAGAAGGTAAGAAGGAACATGAACCTGATAGTGGCGCCCAACGAAGAAGAATAACCATGGCCGAGTTTCAAGAAGAACCTGTGCTGCCTGCAGAAACGGCTCAGAATCCAGAAATGCCAGCTGCCGCCCTGGAAGGATTTGGTTACATCATCCAGACCATGCGCGCTTCGATGAAACCAGAAGCAACGTTTAATGGAAACTCACCGGTAACCATTTTTTTTGGAAAAATTGGATGACCATTTCATGCTATATACCCCGTGCACGAGTTTTCAAAAGTTACCTTAGCTACCAGCGCTTTGAGGGGCCAAGCGCTTAATTGGTTCAAATGTATAGGCAGAAAGTCTCTTGGGTCAAGCAGGAAGTCCCACCTATACTTACGAAAATTTCAAGACTGCCTTACTAAAAGCCTTCCCTGTCGTAAGGGATCGTGCCGAAATTAGAAACGGAACTTTTCAGCACATATCAACAGCAACGAATCGAAAACCTCTCAAGCTTTATTTTAAGAAAAATTCACGTCTTTCAAGCTCTTGTATGGAAACCGTCCGGATCCTGAAATAATTCAAGTGATTTTGCCGAGGTTACTTCCCCAAGTGCAAGACTTTATTGAATTAAGAAATCCGACTACACTGGAAAAGTTATTTGAGCTAGCAATCCAGTTTGAAAGTAGAAGAACGGCGGACGTCGAAAGAAGACGCCAATATCAACAGCGAAACCAATTTGGTACGCCAAGACTACAGCAAACTCAAGCACACGGCTACGGAAGAAAAAGCGAATCAGTGGGCAAGGAAACCCGAGCATTCAAAAACAGCGCGGCGAACGTCGACAGTTCAATAGCAACCCAGGAAAAAAGTCTCAAGGCCAGGGAAAAAAGAAGGAAAGCACGGAAAGGAAAAATAATTTAAACTAAAACGGATTTCTGCTGACGAGAGGGTGCGGAAATCCGAAGGCCACGAAAACCCCTCTTCCTACAAGTTAAATACAGTAATGGTGAAAAATTTGACTCTTCCGAAGATTGAAGTCTTGGTGAATAATATCCCGGCCACCGCACTCCTGGATACCGGCGCGCAGTGTTCCTGTGTGGCAGAGGAGTTTTTTTAGAAGTATTTTCGCAAATACCGCATATATAATGCGGATAATACAACAGTGTTAGCGGCGCAAGGAGAAAAATGTAAGTGCGTAGGTAAAGTACCTTTGTATATCCGTATCAAGGACGAACAAGTAAAGGTGATGTTTTTTATAGTAAAGAATCTGCAAGCACATTTAATCTTAGGGATAGATTTTCTTTCAGACGGACAAGCAACACTGGATTTTAATGAAGCGTCCCTTAAGCTGACAATGAAACCAGTGCGTGTAGAAAAGGTTGAACCGCCAAGGTTAAATCTTGACCACCTGCCTAATGACGAGCAAGATAGAATCCGACAAGTGGTAAGTGAATTTGCTTCGTTATTTAGTGATATTCCAGGATTTACTCAGGTTACTAACCATAGTATTGACACCGGAGATGCATTGCCAGTTCGTCAAAAACCATACCGGTATGATAAGAATAAGGAAAAAATTATAGAATGGCATATTACCGATATGCTACGTAAAAAGATCATAACGCCCATCTCAAGTAGTTATGCTAGCCCGGTGGTTTTATGTAAGAAAAATAATGATTATCCTTTGGAGCATCCAAAAAGGTGGAGATTCGCTATTGATTACCGTAAATTAAATTCCATAACGAAATATCCGGTATATCCGTTACCTATCATAGAAGAAATTTTAAGGAACATAAAATCAACCAAATTTATGACGACTTTAGACTTAACGACTGGTTATTTTCAAATAGGGGTGAGGCCTGAGGACGTGCCTAAGACTGCTTTTATAACCAAGTCTGGCACTTATGCATTTTTGCGTATGCCGTTTGGCCTTTCAGGCGCCCCAGCAACATTTCAGCGATGCATGGACATTGTGTTAAGACCTGTTCTTGGAAAGTCCACATTTATCTATTTAGACGATATCATTATTACTAGTGATAATCTCGACCAACATATACAGGATTTAAGACAGGTGTTTTCTTTATTAAATGAGGCCGGTCTAAAAGTTTAATGTCGAAAAGTGCAAATTTGCAGCCCCTGAATTAAAATATTTAGGTTTACAAAATATCTCAAAAAGGGATCGAGACAGATGAATCAAAAATAATCGCTGTACAAAAGTATCCGACTCCAAACACGGCAAAGAAGCTCTCTTCTTTTCTAGGACTTTGTTCATATTATAGGTCCTTTATAAAAGATTTTGCGGCTATCGCTGAGCCATTGTTAAAATTAAAAAGGAAAAAGGCAAGATTCTCGTGGACGGCCGAAGCCAATAGTGCTTTCGAAAAATTAAAACAAGCATTAACGCAAGCCCCTGTGTTGAAATTTCCTGAAAAGGATGAAAATTTAGAAATTTCAGCGGATGCTTCGGATTATGCGGTAGGAGCGGTACTTTCGCAAAATCAGCAGCCCGTGGCATTTTTTAGCCGAACTTTAAATCAAACACAAAGAAACTATTCCGCGACCGAGAGAGAGGCACTTGCAGTTCTGTTAGCAGTGCAAAAGTTCCGAGTCTATTTTGGAAAGGCGCCGATAACAGTATATTCTGATCATGCGGCGGTAACTAGATTGTACTCGGAAAAATTTATCCCCAAGGTTAATAAGATGGGCACTCAAGCTGCAAGAATATAATCTGGTAATCAAGCATACCCCCGGAAAGGAAAATATCGTAGCAGATGCCCTATCACGAATTAAATTAGACGAACAGGGTAATACCGTAAAAGTTGCAATGCTTACAGCGTGTACAATAAATTCCCGAGAAACTGTAATAACAGAACTGGGTAAGGATCCTGAGTTTGGAAGCATTTATGAGTATTTGAAGGATCCTGAAAATTTTAGCCACCAAGATATTGTCGCGATAAGAAATAGGGCGGCCCATTACGAACTAATAGATGGTCTATTATTTTATACAAAAACTACGAATTCCAACAACGAATTTCGACCTGTTATCTCAGCTAGTCTTAGATTAAATATCCTGCAGGAGCTCCATGACAGCCCTTTAGCTTCTCATGCTGGTATTCGAAAAACTATCCAACGCGTACGCGAGGCAGTCTACTTTCCTGAACTGCAAAAGTTAACAAGGGCGTATGTCCAGTCCTGCCCAACATGTCAAGCAGTTAATTATATTAATTTCCGCCCGGCCGGGGTTTCTAAATAGTATTAAATCCGAATTTCCAAATGAAATAATTGGCATCGATTTATTGGGCCCTTTCCCAAAAAGTCAGTTAAATAAAAGTCGCTATCTCCTTGTTATGGTTGATCATTTTAGTAATGGACCGAAATTGTTCCCTTAAAACGAGCCTCCGCGAAATTAGTTACTGATTCTATTTTAAATAAATATATTTTAAAATACGGGGCGCCCCTAAAAGTTATATCGGATAATGGTCCTCAATTTGTAAGTAATGTATTTGAAGACATGTGCCAAAAACTGGGCATACGTCATTTAAAAATGGTCCCGTATCGGCCGCAATCAAATATAGCGGAACGGGTCAATAGAAATATAGTGAAAATTATCCGTAGTTATGTTAAAAATTTTCATAAAAGCTGGGATAACTATGTCAATGAATTTGCTTTCGCCCTTAGGACCGCAAAACATGAGACAACGGGCAAAACTCCTGCTGAGTTATTTTTAGGTAGAAAGATTATAACGCCGTTAGATAAATTATTTTATGTGCAACAAAGAGCCCCAGAATTTAAAATGGGTGATATAGAAAAACTAATAAAAGAAGCAAAAAAGAATACGGAAGTAGCACAAAGAAAACAGAAGTTATATTATGATTTGAAACGACGGGGAGTAACTTATAAAGTAGGAGATGAAGTTTTAAAAATTAAGCATTCACTTTCTTCAGCACCAGAAGATAAAACTGCCAAATTTTTTCCACGATTTGAAGGACCATATGTTATAGAAAAAATAACTCATGCTGTTGTAGTGTTAAAAGCCAGAAATAATGAAACCTGT